AGAGTGTCAGGCACTGGAACACCCTGCCCAGGGAGGTGGCTGAGTCACCATCCTTGGAGATATTCAAGAAATGTGTAGATGTGGCACTTCAGGGTCTGCTCTAGTACTTGAGGTTGTGGGGGTTTGTGGGTGTTTTTTCATGGGGTGTGGTTTTATGTTGATGGTTGGACTCTGTGACCTCAGAGGTCCTTTCTAACCATGATGATTCTGTGATTCTGTGATTTTTGCTCATGATAACTTTCCTACAGGTTGGTTAGTCCTAGCTCAGAACAATCATTACCATATCCCATGGTGCAAGAATTACATCAGCACACAAAGAGCACCCCCTCTGCCCCATTAGTACTAATTTCCAAGAGGATAAAGGGTCCTTACGTTGTGGACATTCGGAGTGCTGATGCTTCTGCGGATGTTTCTCACTTTGGTGGAGAGTGCCTCTTTGACTGTGACAGCCTGCACAAAGAAAAGAACACACTAAAAACAATGCCATGGTCTCCACATGAGAAATGATCAAACAGGGTAGGAATTTTTTCAGCGTGACTAATGGCAGCAAACAGGGCTTGCATTTACAAATCTTAATTTTTGCACAAGACCACCAAAATTTCTATCTTAAATTTTTACTTTTGCCTTTGTCTGTTCAGGTTCTGTGTACTACACCACTGGCAGCTATGGTTATGAGACCCACCACTACTGGAATTCCGTATTTCACAGAAGTAACTTAGTTTTATATTTAATCGTCCAATGTTCTCTTAAAAAAAACCCGAACAACCCAAACTAAAAAACAACCAACACTTAATATTTTGAAAAGATCGATCATCTCTACACGAATAGTCACAATCCTGTTCAAAAAGTGCAAGAAGTGCCTTTTCCTTGCCTGTCTGAGTCGTTCAAGGCTCAAAATGTTCTCCACTTGCAGCACACCACGTGTGTATTTTTCAATGTATGTTTCACCATCAGATGTGCCCTCATTCTCACTCCTTGCAGCCATCAGTGCTAAGGTCTCACGATCCTCAATTTCTTCTGTAGCCTAAATTACAAATTTTAAAAAAATTAAAGCCTATTGTTTTTAATATATTAATTCACTACTTCAGGTCCTCTCAACCCAGAAATTAGTCTGAATTGACTTAATCAGCAATCCTAGTTATAATCAGCGATCCAGTACATTTTTATACAGATGTAAATGATGTTGAACTAAGAACTACAGCACTGTAGAACTACAGCTGCTGTAGTCAATGTTGTCCTAGAAATAATGCATATATATACCTGAAATCACATACGTTAAGGATTAACTAATGACAACTTCGTAGGCAAGTAAATGCAACTTGCCTTCCAAATCTTGATATGTGATTTCTCTAGTTTAAAATTTTAGCCTTATGTGGGGAAGAACTATTTCCCACAGTACTACAGCACAAAAGTGACAATTACACGGTGATGAGACTACTTACATTTTAATTTGTCCCATTTGTTTACCTTTAAATTAAATTCTATAGTAGATTTACAATTTGTATAAACTGTTTCTATAAAAACCAATTCATATTCCTGCAAACTCACTTTCCTAGCTATTCAGTTTTTGCTGCCCTAATCAACTCTCTGAGTACCCTCCACATGCTCTCTGTAGACACAAGTATGATTTCAAAAATAGCTCTACTGCAAGAAATCAGTTAAACACAGTAGAAGAGAAAATAAAATCCTTACAATTTTCAGCTGTTTACAGATAAGCATGGTCTCACCACTGGACTTCAGGGTAAGCTCTCTCCTCTTAACAAAGCAGAGCATTTACTTCCCAATCAGTATCACCCACTGCAGTAGATCATTCTCTTCCTTGCATTGAATTTACCAAAGAAAGACAGTGCAATTTACCTTTGGTATATTGGATACAATTTCATAGGTCACTCCACAAGCATAATATATATTTTTCAAGGATATTCTCCTTTTCAAGCTCTGGGTAAAACTCTAGAAACAAAGTAATTTTCAATTATTGTTTTTACAATTACCATTTATGACATTCTAAGAAATAAAAGTTTGCAATGAAAAAACTTGTTTTACCACAAAAGCACATTTTTCAGGAGAAGCAGTTCCTGTTTAGCATCAATGATATTTTAAGTACTCTTTAAAGTCCTGCACTGAGTATTAAATGCTACTAAGGTCAACCAGTAACATTTTCCTCCCGTTTCGCATTGATTCTCTATCCTTGTGCAGTAACTGGTAACTGAGAAACTGTAGCTGCAAGAAGTCTCTAATGTACAGATGACATTTCTCATTTTGTCAGTCACTTGTTCAACAGGTAGAAAATTCCTTTTGCCAAAGCAAAGCATAACTCTGCTTTTGAGCCACAACTGTAATAGTAATCAGAGTTTTTACTGTCTGTAATCACAAGCTTAGCATGCTTCATTGTCAGGTTAAGTTAGTCCTTACATCACTAACTGTAAACATAATTTTCATCTAATAAGGTACTTTGGACACATGAAACTAGCAAAGGACAATATGCCAAATACAAAAAGACATGGACTTTAGCTGCTTAGCAAGTTGCTTGTGGTAGAACAGCTTCTCCCCCCACTGCAGTGCAAAATCTGAAGCAATTCTGAAATGTGCCCTTGGCCTCAGTAATATAGGAAACAGAAAGGAACTTTATTTCAGACAGTATCTCATTGTCTCAACCAACAGCAGCCACTCTCGTGGCCAAAGTAAAGGCCCTATCCAAATTAATCATGTGAAAATGGGCAGAGAATGTATACATACAGGTAGTGGTGGGAAACAAGCCTAGTTTGGAATTAACAGGGAAAGTAGCAAAGAAAAATATACATATCTATTGTGTTTACATCGAACATCTGAAGGTGTCAATGATGCACCCAGTAACAGAGTGGCTACAGTCACCCTGTATTAGATAAGCTACTGCAAACTTCTCTGAATCAAAGAACATTTCAAATTGTACAGTCAAGAAGGTAAAACTCCTTTTTTGTTACAAAAGTAGCACCTGTTACTCTGAACCAATTCAGTTTGAAAAATGGACATGCAAGGAGATATACCAGAAGTGCACAGCTTCACAGCAACCTATAATAATCTACTTTTGTTTTAACTTTCGTAAGAACTGGAGGGACCAAGCTCACAGAAAGTCAAGCAAGCATCAAACACATTCATAAAATTGAGGATATAAAACAAAATTAATAATAAATGAAATTCTTACCTGCTTGTTATAAATATTGGCTGCAATCCTTTTGCGTAACACCAGTTCCATCGCAGCCGGATGGCTGAGCTGCACAGTAGTCTTCACTATCAAGTAAATTCTCTCATTTTGAGGAGTTACCCTGTTCAGGTGCACTGAATCGTGGACAGAGGAGTCCCAAGCAGCTGTGGCTGAAACCTGTGCAGACAAATGAAAAGAAGGAAGGAAATGGAAATCAAAGACTTAATTACTCTAATGAAAGGTGTAATTTGCGGTGATTCTTTAGTGAAAGAAAAATAAGCATCATTGAACCAAATGGAGTTAAACCTCCTTTTTATAGTGAGGAACTGATCAGAAGCATAAAAGAGGTGTTAAGATACTGGGGAACACGATCATGAACACAATCCCTGCATTGTGCAAACGCTGCATCAGAAGATAAGTCTTCACACGGAAGCAGAGAGGCAAGCAGAATCAAGACCACAGGAAGGAATACAAATCCTGTTTAGTTAAGAATTCCATAACGGATTCAGAACATTCATTTCCAACAATTCCCAAGTTTTATATGTAAAAAAGTAATTGTGTACTACAAAGGAAAAACTTAAACTTTGCCTAGTGTGCACAAAAAATGAAACAGTTTTCTCTGAAGAACCAAGAGTCTGCAGGAGGAATGATGAAGGAGTGAGAAAAGAAGAAGGGATTTTAAGTCAGGCAGCTGAATTACTCCTTTACCAAGAGATAAGACTTGTCACCTCTGAATTAAGGCATAGGGCTAACAAGACATTCTCCCCCTAAATTTTAAGCAAACAGACCAGAAAATAAAGGCAGCACTAGATACAGATGGTACTTCTAAGACAAAATATAATAAAAATAGTGATTAAATACATACAAGTAGAAAATAAAACACACAAAGAAAGTGTTAATGTAAGCTGCAGTTGTCAAGAAGGAGGCTTGCTAACAATTTACCTCATCATCACTGTGTTTTATGATCGGCAGATAAAAGAATGGACTCCCATGCTCCTTTGGTAGTATTGAGTTAACTCCTGATGCATGGGGACCTATAAGTTGTTCATTGGCACTGAGGTCATCAGCTAATGAAACAAATGTGCAAAGAATGAAATAGTTTTATACCAAAGGATATTAATATATAGAGGCAAAGTTGTAATACAAAGTTGCAATAAAAGTCCTACCCATATTTCACAACACATTTCATCCTAATTAATCTTATTGCTATGCAATATTTTGAAGACAATTTTAGCATACAAAAGAAGTGAAGTAAAACCAGGCTAGGACTCTGCCTGAGCATGCTGTCATGTAACCTAAACAGAATTCAAAACTATTTCTAAGTATTCATAACATCAACTTACCCAGCCTGAAAATTTCTGGTTTATCCACCTGTCAGCCTAACCAGCTTATCTTAGTTAAATCACTTCTCATGTATCAGGAAATCTATAAATTGAGAAAAGTAGCTCTGGCTATATTAGGCTTTTAGCTAAACAAAAAGAAAATGTGCAATGATCCATCAATCTGTTTAAATATCCTCTTTGATCTTCTGTCTGCTAATCTCTGCTAGTAATGAAAAAAAACAAATAAAAACATTTCTTTTGGTATAAAGGAGTGTATTTTGTTTTCCAAAAGCAGCCCCTAAAGCAGGTATTGATGTGTTGCCTAGATAAACCTCTCTAGTAGCCCACTGAAGTGCTGGATGTGACAAGGCCTGGATGTGACAGTGCCATTGCCAAGACTCGTTTTGATTTCTCAGATATTTGAGATTAATTCTTCCACTTATTAGTTTATTGATCCTAACTATTTTCTCCCCCTCCAGGTTTCTTTATCTGCCACTACAACATACCATTCAAATCAAGGAAGAGGACAGGTATATGCGTTTCCATTCCTGCAGGTGGAATCCTGAAACAAAACAAATTACTGTCAGCAAATACACACCTAAGCTGATTTGGGCAAACAGATCTCCATGCAACATTTGTATTAACCGTAACCAATGGCTAAACACGTCAGCATTTTGATGGCTAATTTGAGTGTCTATGTTGCACAGTCAATACTTTGTTCATCTACACATGCAGCTGAGTGTAGTGCCTTATGTCACACAGCACACTGCAGTTGCTGTGGGGATGACAAGTTTTAAGTGTGCTGTTCTGCTTCTTATGCAGTTAACTGGTTGTAGTCACCTCATACATATAGTTTAGCAACTTTTCAAACAACTGGATATGTAACTGCTGGCAAGGCACAGTCCTGATATCAGTGAGTGCAGTTTTTGCTGTATGACTCCAGTGCACTTCAGGTGAACAAGAAAAAACCATGGTGAGGAAGGAGTATCACTGCATCATTCACCCAATGAAGGAGAGAAATATTAGGTATTAGAGACACCAGTGTACACTTGATTAGAGCTGTATTTCTTGTCCATGCTTGACCAAATCAATCATGTTGCACTCCTCAATTTTGCATGTTGGTTCCAATTATCTTAGTTAAAAGACAAATTCAAATTGAGGAAAAAGAAAACACCCTATAAAATAATAATTTCTTCCCTCCCCATCCCTCATCAGTGAAATTACCTCGTGTTCTACCATTCATTGCTGAACTACTCCTTTTTTCAAAGGAGCCAACCACAGGATAACTGAGAATTTTGAAAAAGTGTAAAATAAAAGACTATGTTAAATGCAAAGGTGATTTTCAAACCTTGAAAGCTATCTCAAAGCCACTTGATGTAATACATTAACTAAGTAAACCTTTCATACATTCAAACCAGCCTGTGACCTTTTGCCTCTGGCCTGCTGAGTGTAAGTGGCCGCATTACAGGAAAATGCAGAAGGCTCTAAAACATCCTCAGATTTTTACCTTGTAGTGTGCAATGTTCATGTAGGAAAAGCTAACCACTCCAGTGTTTTTTCTGAACATACCAGTTTGCAGGGGCACCGGGAATTCCACTGCCTGGTGCTGGAACAAACACAGCATTCCTCTCTTCTGTCAGCCCTACCCACTGTTCAACCAGCCGGGCTTCTCGTTCTATATCATCCTCAGATTTTTCTACAGTGAAAGAGATTAATACTATATATGAGACACTTTTTTTGTGGTATAGGGAATAAAGTAATTATGGCAAGGACTTCAAGCTTCAAACCTGGTTTATTGCTGATCTTTTGAATCTGCTCATCCAAGTATTCTCTGCGTTTTATTAATGCGTCAGACCACCTTTCTCGTACACAGTTTAAATCTTCTTCCTAAAGCAGAAAGAGAAGGTTATTAGGCTATATGGTTAAGATTAAAGGGCAGTGAATTTTGTGATAATTTAATCAGAATTGATATTAAACAGCTTGCAGGGTGCAGAAAACTTCTTCCCCCAAATGACATGCACATGGATTAAGTACCTCATCACCCAGGAATGGAAGCCTATTTGCTTTCAAGTCTCAAATTTCAACAGGAGGAAAAGAAAATGTGACAGTCTCAGTTGCTGAACAGAATCTTACACCATAGGCTAATTACTCACAGAAGTGGCAATCAAACTTTTTAACAGCATATGGAATAGGAATAACAGCTATCATCAGTTGATCGTAAGTTCTCCTAAAGATTAGACAGGTCAATATGCCCTCAAACCTGCACAAGATTCCATTGCTAGCAGCTGCTGTCAGTGCAATTAAAAGATTTCTCATGCAAACAAAACCCATCATGCAATCATGCTTTGTGATATCACAGAAAATCTGGTTCATTCTTCTCTGTGATAAGTCAGGAAGCGCATAAACAGCCCGCAAGAAGTTAGTACCTCACTAGTATCTTTGACACTGTTGTAAAGCCTAACACATTATTTTAAGGAATGTCAGCATTCTCACCTAACTGGTTTTACTTCTGTAAAGCTGCCTACTAGAAATTAAGACTTCCACGTAGAGATCAGCAGTGTGTTTTACTTTTTGAGGCATTTTCTCTTTTGCCCTTCATCACCTTTAAAATGGTTCTTCCGTTACGCTTTCCAAACTGTGACTGTCCTATACTTCCTTATCATACAAAAAGCCAGGCTTGAGGTTTGGTTTCATGTAGATAAAAAAATTGCTCCACTGAAGCTCCTGTATTCCCTGTGCTCTAGCCCTCCTCTTTTCTCTCCCAGTAACATTTCAGAGAAGTTCACAATTTAAAAGGTTACAATATTTTCTTCAGAAAACAAACAAAAACCCCTGTGCTGTATAATTTGGTTGGGAAAGATGCCTGCAACTGCAGGTGGTTGCTCTTTTCCCTATGATATTCACTGTTTTCATTCTAAATTAAAGTTCCTAGGTTTTTATTCACATAGTAATTCCTGTAGCCAGTAAGGAGACCTGACTGCTGAGTACTAGAGAAGAGAGCACACTGCAAGATTATAAAGTCACAATTTAAACATAATAGCAGCGTTTTATAGCCCAGGTAGCCTTTTAAATGCACAGCACATATATATATTTCAAAGCTGCTTTTGCTTGCTCCTGAACACTTGTTCATTTGAAAGTTGCTGGCTATTAGCATTAGCTGTGCCCCATGCCACAGGATTGACAGCAACAGCAGCAATACCTGGTAACTATCCATATCACCACCATCATCCTCCTCCTTCTGGTAGGAGAAAATAGATTTTGTAAAACACAAAAAGAACATGCATTTCTCTCAACAGAAACTCACAGCAACACCCCAAAACATGAATACAAACATTTCTGATACAAAAACTTGTAAAATGTTAAAAATTACAACATTCAAATAACCAAAGTCTTATAAACAGGTAGAAAGAGATTAATTTTTTTCATTAGACTACAGCATCTCATCCAGTATTTGAGTACTAGTAAGTTTTGGGGGTCTTTTTAATTATTTTAGAATACAGAACCAGAAAAAGGACTGAGCAAGCATATGACCAATCTTCACGTTCTACAGTTTCATCTGTATTTAAGGCTAGAATTTCTTGTGGTTCTGAATACAACCCTTGTGACAAAAGGCACCTCGCTTCCCTGGGTGGCCCATTCCACTTGCTCTTTGCAATTACTGTTAAAAGCATACTTTATTTTCAAAATGCATTTCCTCACTATCAGTTTGAAGCCATTTGAAGCCATACTTTCTAATAACTTTTTTCCCCTACATGTAATAGCCCTGTCACACCCAGTTATAGGTATTTCTGATTCTAATAGAGTAATAACTCAGTCCTTTTTGAAAAGAGAAGGTGTCTTTACTGTAAGACATTTTCTCTATTCAGCTTCTTTAATTTTTTTCCTGCTTTTCCCCTCCTCAACTTTCACCATCCTTCTAAGGGATGGAAACTAACGGAGATAGGAATCTACTATTAATCACCTCCACACACTAAAGTAAAAACAATTTCCACATTGCTGCTGTTTTGTGAATACTCACATTACTTGCTTCTTTATCAGCTATACACCAAGTTTTAAGCAAAAAAGAAACAAATTCAGCACCTTATGCTGACATTACACATATTAGTCTCAAACACATTTAAACTGCAAAACTACATCTCATGTATCAGTTTGTTACGGTCCCTTAAGGAACTATGTATGGCTGGCTCTAAAACAGCAAAAAAAAAACAACAAGAAAATGAATCAACACATGCAAAATTCACTGTCTTACCTGGTAGCTGTCCAAGCCCCTTTGCAGTTTGGTTGATCTGGCAGTCACACCACCTATAGAGACTGAAAGAATTGCTTCTACCATGAGAGGCAACGTTCCTGAATGTTGTACAGGTTTCACTGTCACCTGAACTCTGCGAGAATGACCCTGAAGAGGTACATAGAAAGGGAGAGAGAAGAACAGGGAGAAGCTAAGAATAAAATTAAGAATCAATTTAAGCACAAATTAGAAGACAGGGAAAAGATCCATACCTGTCTAAGCTGGAAAATCCCCCCTGTGTTTACATCTTTTGCCTGATGGAGATCCACTGCAGTATATTCTCCCATCTCGTTCAATTCTTGTATGGAAATCCACATTTCTATTCTTCGAGTTACTTCATTCCACCTAAAAAAGACATTCCCACAAAAACTAGTGGTTGCCCCATCAAACTCTGTTTTGTTAACCACAAGTATTAGAAAGCCTTTGGAAAGCCAGATGGAAGTCTGAAAGTGTAATCTATTTGTACCTGTCACTTAGTGTCCTAGTTTTAGCATGAAGAGAATCAACTTCCCAAACAGAGCTGCCATTGCCAGTACACCTGTGACCCCACACCTCAATAGCAAGGGCTCCTTCTGAAATGAACTCCAAAAACTCTTCTGTGACATTCACCACATAATCCTAGAAATTTAAAAAAAAATAAAAAATAAAAGATTCCATCCAATCAAATGAAATAACTATCTCCTCAACTATTGTAAGTTCCCCTCAAGTTTGTAAGTAAGCACCCAAAAAACCTAGCTACCTGTATGTTAAAACCATACAGTTGGGATCAAACAGTTTGACTCTGGTCAAGAAAGTTGTGAAACTTATAATTTCAGCAGTTCCTTCTTGGGCATACTGCATTTCATGCTTTGAAAATTTCCACAGAAATGATGTCACAGCTCCACTGATCTTTTTTAAGTTACTGAACTTACCAAACAAGTAAATAAGATGTTGTTACATAAACTGTAGTTTCCCCCATGCATTACAGATGACACCTGAATTTAAAAGACCACTAATTACAAGAATTTTTCACCTTGCTGCATTTTTTAAGAGGTTAAAAAGTGAAATATTATGGTTCTAGTCAAAAGTCATTAGTTGTATGACTTGATTCCTTCCTTCTTACCCCAGCAAAAGAAGGCTCAAATCCTAAGCTGCTTATCTCAAGCATACCATCCTCCCAGTAACACTATTTCATAACAAAAATAGTTACCTTACAGTGAGAGAAGGTCACTGTAAAATGAGCATCCTTGCTCTGAGGTGAAGGCACATCTGGATCTACCACTGGTGCTGCTACTGTTGACTCACATTGATCCCAAAACGTATATTGACAAAACACAAAGTTGGAGAGATTAGGTGGCAGTCCGGTTGCTTCTTTTATTTTTACCTGAGGAGACAAAACAGATGTCCCCATAAATATGACTGTTTCTTCAACTGTAAATTGTTGAAAAACTAAATATTAATCCGAAAGTACCAACAGGCCAAGAAGAATTTTTAAAGGATGCCTTCAAATGCTTTCTAGGGATGTCTCTATTTAGTAAGGGCATATACAGAAATGCAGATGCAAGGAAAGCAGTCACAAGCTAGTCCACCCATGTACATGTTTTCTTGGAGAAAGCTGGTAAGTTCAAGTGGAGTATGGAGCACTTCAACACAGAAAAAAATGAAATCCAGACACCACCCACAGATACTATATTAGATGATCAAATAAACCGAGGAAGATGATTACATGATAAAACTTCCCCCTTCTGTGTCCGCCAAGAAGGACAGTCCTTCTTGTAACGTCAGTATTTATGATGTAAATCTGCATCTACTGGAAACTAATGCAAATTAATTCAGCCACTGGCAACCACAGCCAGTTAGTGACCTACACTGACTCGGAACAAGAGAAGTCTCTCTTTTCTCTTCAGAGAATTTTAAGTAAGCAGCAGCCTACATAGCTTAATACTTTACATCAGACCAACTATGCTGTTACAAAGGCCTGAAACAACCTCATCATGTGTTCTCACTCACCCTGCAGGAGAGCTTTTTTGCTCTATGAATAATTTCTCCATTGTTATCCACAACTTCCAGACTCCCACTCTCACTGGAGTTCTCAGATGAGTCGTCTCCTTCTGCTACACGTTCTGGGACAGACCCAGTGACTCGCATTACTTCAACGTGCAACCGTCCTGCAACCTGAGGCAGGCAAGACAAATGCTGAGAAACTGTGCATAAGGGACTTGCAGACATGAAGATGGTAAACATTTAACTCTAGGAAGTGTGCAGAAACAACTGAACAGCCAAATGAAAAGTAACAATGCCAATAAAGAGAGGAGAAAGGAATAATAATAATAATTTTTAAAAAATCATAGAATGTCTTGGGTTGGAAGGAACCTCTGAAGTTCACCTAGTCCAACCCCCCTACAATAAGCACGGACATCTCACACTAGAACAGATTGCTCAGCCCCATCAAGCCTGACCTTGAATGTCTCCAGGGATGGGACCCCCACCACCTCTCTAGGCAACCTGTTCCAGTGATCCAAATCCACCCTTTTCTAGCTTGAAACCATTAGCCCTTGTCTTATCTTTACATGCCCTTGTGAATGTATCTTCCCCAGCCTTCTTGTAGGGCCCTTTCAAGTATTGGAAGGCCACTATAAGGTCTCCCTGCAGTCTTTTCTTCCTCAGGCTGAACAACCCGAACTCTCTCAGCCTGTCTTCATAAGAGAGGTGCTCCAGCTCTCTGATCATTTTTGTGGCCTCCTCTGGACACGCTCCAACAGGTCCACATCATTCTTGTGTTGGGGGCTCCAGAGCTGGACACCGTACTCCAGGTGAGGTCTCACCAGGGCAGAGTAGAGGGGCAGAATTACCTCTCACATTCTGGCCACACTTCTTTTGACACAGCCCAGGATGCAGTTTGCCCTCTGGGCTGCAATTGCACCTTGGTGGCTCATGCCCGGCTTTTGATCCACTAGTAGCCCCAGGTCCTTTTCCACAGGGCTGTTCTCTAGCATGTCTTCCTCCAGCAGGTATTCAAATCTCTGGTTGCCCCAGCCCAGGTGCAGGACCCTCCACTTGGCCTTTGTGAGGCCAAAATGAGACGACAAATTGGCATGCACACCCAACAGAAGAGCCATATAGTGTCATGACTGTACCTCAGACCCTTCACCTGCTGAATTTTGCTCAGTTACCTACAATCCACGCTTTGAATTTGATCCTATTATTTTAGTAGCTGGTTAGCTTTGGCTGCGTGCTCAAACACAATCATATACATCGGTGTACATTAAGTCTCTCAGCAAACAGCCCTGCTACCCTCACAGGTGTGGGGACACACACACAGGTGTGCACAGCCCGCTGTCCCCCCTCCAGGGTACCGCCTGGCCTTACCTCTCCCTGCTGGCTGATGATGGGCACAGCGTACTGCAGCTTCACATCATAGAAAAGGCACTCCAGAAACACGTTGGCGACACCAATCAGGTTGTGATTCTCCTGAGCTTCGTAGAAAGGATCACCCCTTTTGCCAATCAGCTTCCTCATCTGTTTGCAAGATGAGAAAAGTTATGTCAAAACCCGCAACTGTGGGAACATAGAAATGAAGTAACCATATGGTATTAAGGTGATGGCAGAAAAATTAAGGCGCCACCCATCTTTTATGTTCTTTCCTGTTATACAAGTAGAAAGAGACTGGAAGCATACCACCCATCTGAAATTAAATCATTGAGATGAGACTTTATGCAATCCCTTCTTTGCTATGGGATGTACTAATCCAAAGACCTATGTTTTGTAGTGATGTCAGGACAAAGCAGATTTTACCATGAGCAAGCACAGTAGCCACTGATTTCAAGAAGTTTCACCTGACTTTTCTGCTCTGTTTAGATTTTTAAAATGAGAAAACAAGTCATGCCCAGGTTGAATATCTAGTCTGGCTGCTGTGTACCACTATAAGGGCAAAGGAGAAAATACAGAATGATTCCCACCTAAGCCTACAAATGTTCTTTATGATTCCAGTAGAGCTGAGATCACATCTGCAGCATTTACTATGCAAATACTCCATACACAGCCACAAAGAATTCATGCAGATTCCTAGAAAATATGCTCTCCTCCGTGGACTTGTTAGCTCCTTCTCTTCTCCTTCATATGCTACACATGCATTTGACCTACGTGTTTCTATGTAGCACATAGAACACATGCATTATGGATGACATAGGCCATGGCAAGAACAATCCTGGCTCAGGCAGACATAAAAAATTCAAAGGATGTGCTATCAGTTCTTACAAAAGTCAGCAGCAAAATCATCGTTGTCTTCAACGGGCACAGATGAAGTGCTTGACCTCCCCTGTGTTATGATTTTAGAGATTCCCATTGTCCCATCCAAGGCATGTAACAAAGGTACAAAAGCTGTTCAAACATTTTTGAGAATGATTCTTGATACAAGTAATTTAGGTACTCCCTATGAGCCAAAAGACAGCAAGATATACTTCTGATACACTTTCCCTGGATACTTAAAGGATGTCTTCTGGGACACCAAATCTCACATCTACCTTTTTGCAAGTGAACGAGCAAGCTTTTTTTTGACAAGTCTCATGCTTGCTTCTCAGAGCTAACCTACTAAAATTCTCAGGAAACACCACTTAGTTTTGATAGAAATACTGATGTAGACTAAGTATCCTCAATTGTTTTTTTCCCTGCTTTAAGGTTGGGGGATACACAAATGAAATTACAGAATATTTCATATTTTAAGATTAACACTAATGTGTTCTGCACCTTGAGTATATCTAAGCAGCACCCTTGCTAGCTTTGATATTGACTACAGGTTAATAATTTTATTTCTAACACAGTTTGCTGCTTCCATTCAGAGCTGGTGCCTATCCACATGGCACCTGTATTATGCCAGGTGAACACATGCTCCTAGTGGTACCATGAGTAACTCCCTTAGCACAATTGTATCTGACCTCAGCACACTTTTATCTGAGAATAGAAGTGAGGACGGTGCAAAGCTGCGGTTTTCTTCTTCATGGGCATTTTGAATATTTAGTATCACATTATAGATTTTTGTTTGGTTTTGGTTTTTAAAACCACAATACCGTACCCTTTCCTTTATGAAGTCACTACCTATTATCTGTACAACATATTCAAAGGGGTTAAAATAAAACAAATTCGATCTCTTATCCTTTTCAGAAATCTATACAATACCTCAGGAATTTTCTCCTTCCACTCTTGATAGAGGTCTCTCATGTCAATCAATTTGTTCTCTAGTTTCTCAATCGTCCACACTTGAGTACCTTTTCCTTTTCTTCTCACTTGAATAGCAGGCTCACTTACTATTGCACCCCTCTAAAGTAGAGGAAAAAATAATTACTGCAGGAAAAGTGCATGTAAATAGTTTAATTTTTTACTTAAATTGCATTCCTAAAAAGGAATAAAACACAGAACACAGAGCTTCCCTCTGCATGCTGGCCATACTATCTCTGTGGTGAAACACAGCATATCTTGTACATTTCTAGTGAGCTAGACCTCATCATCCTTCTCAGAAAACTACCATTCCCACTGAAACATTAACACTCCATCAAATAATGTATAACAAGCATATTATCCCAATTGCTATAATTACATTTACAGCAGCACTACAACTAGAAAACCCTTCAGACAAAAAAAATTGTAGGCAAATTTAACAAAAACTTGTAATTTTTGCAAGCATAATTGAATGGAGGTTTTACAGCAATAGAACACAAACGTCTGTTCACAAACCACATGTGTATATGGTGATCATACACTTGAAAGAACAGCAAGAGTCATCCTTAATGCCATGTTCAAATTTTTACTTACTCACTTTCAACATATTCAAGTCAGGCAGCACTCATATTTTGCCTATGCATAATCTAACACAAGCAACATTCTATGGCCTCGAGTTAGATGAATGTTATACATGTCTACATCTTTTAGATTAGTCACATGACATTTTTCAGCATTCTTTGCTGTTGTTACCTTTTTGTTGGCACTGAGGTTTTCAGCAGGGATCTGAAGTGTTACTTGATAATCTGTTACTTTACTCATTTCTTCTGCTAAGAAGTTTGCTTCTCTCACCAGCGTGTTTGCCTTTACTATCTGCTCTCGAAGCTTAGCCAGGCTCTGTCGAAACAATTCATCCCTGTGGTGCAGTAGGTAACATGAAAAATACACAGAAACCTATTTCTATTATTGGAAAGCTGTAAACAGAGGTGCTAACAAAAGACTTTTCCATACTAGTTGAAGAAGAAATGCTGTGTAGGACTATGTCAGCAAACATGAAACAGTGTCAGACCACTTTATTGAGGAAAAGCAGGGATCACATATCAAGCAAACATTACTGCTAAGTCTAGCACAGTAATGCCCAAATAAAAGGGCACAGTACTGAGGAAGCTGTTACAGTGATGATTTGTTAGAAGCCCTAGGGACATTCCTAATTTTCAAGAAATGAAATAATTGCAGCTGTCTCTGTCTGCGTCCTGTTCCACAGAAACTACCAGTCTCAACATGTGAGAGTTCATCTTGATAAAACCTGCTTTTCCTCAGATTGTGGTGCAGTCACTGTAGGCCACAGCTTTACACCACAGGTAAGGCTCTGCAGTGCTACAGATTCCCAGATCTCACTCCAGATACTTAAGCCATCTAAAGTGTTCACATTTTTTGAAAAAAAAAAAAAAAAAAAAAAAAAAAAAAAAAAAAAAAAAAAAAAAATCTTAAGTCCTATATATCCAAAGTACCTTTCAAGTAATAAATAAATGAGCACAGGTTAAAGCTTGTGCACTCTGTAGAGTTAACAGTCACTGGATAATTTTCAAAAAGTTTTCTAAGGCCTGTCTGAGCAAGTATGTTCTAACATAATACCTGGCAAACCTGCTATGACACAAACTATACCTCCACCTGTGTTACTATGATATGCACTCACTTGGGATTCTTGTCTTTACTTTGCTTTTTAAAAGTACCATGCCTTTCTTTGTAATCCCAACAGCACTCACCGTCTCTTATCTTCATCAAACTCATGATCAGACTTCAAATATTTCAGTGACCAGCACTCCCCTGTATTTTCTAGCTTTTCTACACAAAGTCCTACTGAAATACAGTATATGTTCTCTGCATGCACTTTGCATTTCTTTAAAATACATTACTGACAAGCGAAGGAGGAAAAAGCTCATGGGCCTTGCTGTGAATACATGCAAAGTTTGCCTATTTGCCCTTATTCAGATAAGCTTAGGTCTTTTGCATGTCTTACAGTCCAAGCGACAAACAACTGTTAATATGCCTTTCAGCCCCCAACTGCATTCTTCTTGAGTGGCTCTCCTTTTTCAAAATAACCCAAAGAACAATCTAGGTACTTCAAGTTAGACTCTGCTGGTTCCCTGATGCTGTATCAAAGTGGTAAACTACCAGCAGTGTTAGAAACACCCTGGAATTTTAGTGCCTTTAACATGCTGAAACATGAAGCTTTGTCTCTCTGCTCTATCTGGCCTAAGTTTGCAACAGTGGGTTTTGTCAGATATTAAATAGCTGCTACTTTCAGCGGATTTTTAGTCCACTTCTTGATTATCTGCTCCCAGTGTTATACACATAATTCATTTCCCTATCCTTCTTGCTTCTGTTATCCAGGCCATCACAATTAGCTGAGCAATTCCAGACCATGGGAGTTACACATTCCACAGCTATAATTTTGGATTCACCCAGAAAATGAAAGTAGATTTGAGAATTTCTCCCTAAATAGCACTTCATACAGAGCGTGCATTACAACTGCAACCACTGTGAGACAGCTGCCAGGCTTGAGAAACAGAAGGCATCTTTGATCTGCATGTGCTGTAAGAGGCAGGGAATTAATCTACAGCCAATCCCTTCCCTGATCCAGGAAACCTGTATTTGGTGAGCCTTTTGGGAGGCTCCCACGTCAATTTTGTCTTCACTAGATTCTTGAAAAAGGAATGGTTTAAGACTCTAAGGGGGAGTTATGAGTAATTAAACCAATTATTACGGGTAGTTCTCATTACACTTGTGTTTGTACACTCATCTACACTTGTAGAGCTGTGCCAGTACCTTTCCAGAAACCTCAGCAAAAAAATGTTTCAGGATTTCGTAATTCTTATGACACAAAACATGAAACAATGTCCATCAGGATATTAACCAAAGGAAATACCCCACTGAACATGAAATCTTGAAACAATGGTTCAAGCCAAACACTAGGAAACTTAAATCTGGCACTCCAAGAGGTGTCACAGCAAGTGCCTGGGATTCCTAATGACAGATACAGGATATGCTGAACTAAACAGCTGTTCCAGTACACCATCACCAACATCACCTCACTTTTTTCCTGACAAATGATATTTGTTTAAAGTTACCATGTCAACTTCATGTCAACAGGTTTTTAATCCAGGTCAGGTATCATATGTCCTTCCACAGTCAGCATAAAGCCAGAATAAACTCCGTGTAACATGTTCTAGCTGATCTGACAGATACAACCACGTGCCTGCACCTGACACCTATCAAATTAATTTTGCTGGCTAATGCAGTAGAGCTCAGCTTCATTTGTAAGACAACAGAGCAAAAGCTGAAACTGCATCAATCAAATGCTCTGTAATCCAGACACTTTGCTATTTCACACATTCTTCACATCCAGTCTTCCAAATTTTTCCTGCATTTCTTGCCCTCTGGTCGGGTGGCTGGTAAACACTCTCTCAGCACCATGTTGCCATGCTGTTACAGTAGAAATCCCACAAAGACATTTTTTTTCTGGTTTCTTATTTAAGATGATTCAATTTTTTGCCTTTATTTTCCCAGAAGCTGAAACCTCTTCTAGAGCCATAAATAAATAACAAGTATACCTATGAGGATCTTCTGGAGGACAGGAAACTGATGACCAGTTATTCCAGAATACTGCTTATTTAAGGGCAGTGCCATCAAAACGTGATCGGACTCCTTACTGATCCCTACAAAGAGCTTTTTTTCCTCCTCTTTTTTACAATACAGCAAAGTATGGTCTTCAAGTAGTTCAATAGGTATATAAAGCTTTCATCCATGAAATCCAGAGACAAAAATGCTTCTTCAAACACATCTCTTCCTAAGAAATGTCTAACAACTATGAGAAGGCTTTCAGAACACTTAGCCTTGGTATCACTCCAGATTCTAATTTTTCATATGATTACATGGTTGTGGTGGTTGGTTAACTTTAAGTTAATAAATTACATTTTTTAATTCTCAACTCTCAAGGACAGGCAAGAAGTTTTTTTGCTTCTTTTCACTTCCTATTGCATCTTTTTAGAGGTGTGGCTTCCCTTGCCAGTAAGCCTAGTTTTCATCCCTGCTACTGAAGTGAGGCCTACAAAAAAGCTGGCGAGGGACTTTTAACAAGGTTATGTAGTGATAGGATGAGGGAGAATGGTTTCAAACTGAAAAGTTTCAAACTTTTCAAACAAAAGATTTAGGTTAGATGTTAGGAAGAAACTCCTTAGTGTGAGGGTGGTGAGACACTGCAACATGTGGCCCAGGGAAGCTGTGGATGCTCTATCCCTGGAGGTGCTCAAGCCCAGGTTAGATGGGGCCCTGAGCAACCTGATTTAGTGGGAAGTGTTACTGCCCATGTAGGGGGGTTTGTAACTAGATGATCTTAAAGGACATGCCAACCCAAACCATTCCATGATTCTATTATTACATCAATGACTTCTTGATGGCCTTGCTGTGCTCAAAGCAGTTCTGAACAGCTATATTTCCACCTAGGGTGTTTCTCACTTTGCACTTCTTCTGCAGCCTTAAAAGAGACTGCAGATGATTCTGCAATGCTTTACATTCAGTTCCCAATGATTCTGTTTTTAACTCTTCCAATTAATGAAAACTGAAACACAGCACTAGCTCTCCCTATGCTTGCCATAGAAAACATTCTTTGTTTTTCCTAGGCCAAACTAGGCACAAATTACAAAACAAAACCATGCACAAAGACTAAACCAAAATATTTTCTGTTTCTAACTCCCTGAATTTGAAAGCTGCAACACAGCCTTGGCTATCTTTGTTTAGACTCCTCTTGTACCTAGATATATTTATTTATTTATTTATCGTGGAGAATAAAGCAAAAATAACCAAAACAGGATAGAGCACTCAAACTCACTACACAAAGAAAAATGCTGACTGAATAATGAGGCTTCTGTTTTAAAAGAAAATAGACTAAGAGAAACTTAGAAGAAACCTGTTAGTACATCTAATCATTCTTCGTGCTGAATTGACTCAGTGACAGAATACTTTTTTGTATGCTGAAATCTTAAATCATCTCAGTTGCTGTCCCTAGAACTTTTTTCCATGGAGCTGACATGCTTCTCTCCCCAGTGATACCAAAAGCAACCTTCTCTCATTGCTAAGATGCAAACAACTCAGATGCTGCTTAAACTGCTCACATCTTCCTACTCTGCTTTTTAAACTCCATCTGCAAATCTCATTATGATCTTCCATCAGGGTTCAGATACCAAGCTAGTCCTTTGCAAACAGACCTTTTCACCTCATGCCAAGACTTCCACTTCCTAAACAGCTCAAACATACTGTATTTGACTATTCTGCAGTTCTCGAATACACAGCAATTCTCTTCTAAAGTTGGGCTTACTTTTAGAAACACATACATACAACATTCAAATACTTTTTCTGGGTTTTTTATGGTTTTAGATTGCAAAATACTGTGCTCTCAGTGTATGCTCTCAACACACAATACTTCTAAGTGCACTCCTTAGTTTTAGTTGACAAATTTACCTCTGCACTATCCTTTCCTTCCAGAGCTAACTTAGAGCAACAATTGCTAAACCTAACTTTTCAGAAGCACTTTCCTAGTTTAAAAAAAAAATGCCCTAAAATTAATCAATAAAATCTCAATTCTTATTAATTTGTGTTAAATAAAACATGATGATATTGTACACACGTTACACGTCAGACACCAGTCCTGAATGACATGCTACCACTTCAGTGCACTGCACCTTCAACTCCACAGAAAAATGATACCAGTTTCTGACAGATGGTTCAACCCCCATCTCTCAAGTTTTTATGGATTCCTTTGATTTAACTCCAGTATTCTCACCTCTCTTCTGTCCAGAGATTTACTTTCTGCTGTGCAGTCTGAGCAGTGTAGGAGAGCCTGTCACTCCCATGCTGGTGCTGCCTTTCTGGAGAGAGCTGCTGCCGCAGCAGCTCCAGCTCACGCTCGTACATCAGCCGCTGCTCCTCCAGGGCACTCCGCTTCTCCTCCAAGTACTGTTTCTCCAGGATCTGGACCACGTTTTGTACTGGATCTAAAAAGAAAAAAAGGGGGGAAAAATAAAAATAATAATAAAAAAAAAACAAACAAAAAAGTGAGAGAATGCCAATTCCGCATTACAGAACGCTCCTTATTTATTTGGTACTAGCAATCAACACATCCCAAACTCTTCGCAAACACTAGATGGTCACTGCCCCCAGAAACAAAAGCCAAAAATAATAAATACTGTATTAAATAAATAAATCCAAACAAGAAAAAAATATAGCATGCAAAGACACTAAAAGAAATGGTTAAGATCCCTGCCTACTGCATACTTCAGTACTGAGAAGTTGTATGTTAGAATCATAGAATGGTTTGGGTTGGAAGGGACCTTAAAGATCACCGGGTTCCAACCCCTCTGCATGGGCAGGGACACCTCCCACTAGATCAGGTTGCTCAAAGTCCCATCCAGCCTGGCCTTGAACACTTCCAGGGAAGGGGCATCCACTGCTTCTCTGGGCAACCTGTGCCAGTGTCTCAACACCCTCACACTGAAGAATTTATCCCTAATATCTAACCTAAACCTACCCTCTTCCAGGTTAAAGCCACCAGCCCATGTCCTATCACTACACACCCTTGTAAAAAGCCCCTCCCCAGCTTTCCTGTAGCACCTTTCAAGTACTGGAAGGCTGCCATAAGGTCTCCCCGGAGCCTTCTCTTCGAGGCCCTAGAACTAGATGCAGTACTACAGGTGGGTGTCCCAAGAACAGAGTAGAGGGAGCGAAACACCTCCCTCCACCTGCTGGCGACACTTCTCGTTATGCAGCCTAGGGCACCATTGGTTTTCTGGAATATAAGTGCATATTGCCAGCTCATGTTTAGCTTCTCATCAACCAACACCCCCAAGTCCTTCTCCCCAGAGCTGATCTCAGTCCATTCCCTGCCCAGCCTGCATTTGTGCTTGGGATTGCCCTGACCTTTGCACTTGACTTTGCTGAACTTCATGGGCCCACTTCTCAAGCCTGTCAAGGTCCGTCTGGATGACATCCCACCCCTCCGACATGTCAACCATACCCCACAGCATGGTGTCACCAGCAAACTTGCTGAGGGTGCACTCAATCCCACTCTCCATGTCACTGACAAAAGATGTTAAACAGCACCAGTCCCACTATTGAGCCCTGAGGGACACCACTAGTCACTGGTCTCCACTTGGACATTGAGCCACTGACCACAACTCTTTGAGTGTGATCATCCAACCAATTCCTTATCCAATGAGTGGTCTATCCATCAACTCCATGTCTCTCCAACTTAGAGGCAACGATGTTGTATGGGACAGTGTCAAATGCTTTGCATAAGTCCAGGTCAATGGCATCAGTTGCTCTTCCCTTATCCACCAACTTTGTAACCCCATCACAGAAGGCCACCATATTTCAACAGTAAGATTTATTCTCAGTGAAGCCATGATGGCTGTCACCAATCACCTCCTTATTTTCCATATGCCTTAGTACAGTTTCCAGGAGGATCTGCTCCATGATCCTGCTGGTCAGGAAGATCAATTTGTCCAGGAACTCTGTTCATCCATGCAGACCTCCTTGCATTTGTGCCTGACTGCCTCTTTGTTGGGATGCAGCCCTCTTCAGCTTGGTGATCCTTGAATATTAGCCAGCTTTCTGGGACCTTCTTCCCTCCAGGGCTTTATTCCACAGTACTCCACCAACCAGGTCCCTAAAGAGGTCAAAGCCCGCTCTCCTGAAGTTCAAGGTAATGAGCCTGCCATGTGCCCTCCTTGCTGCTCCAAGGATCTTGAACTCTACTGTTTCATGGTCACTGCAGCCAAGGCTGCCCTGAAGCTTCAGATTCTCCATCAGCCTCTCCTTTTTTGATGAAAACAAGGTCCAGCATAGCACCTCTCCTCATTAGCTCCTCAAACATTTGGAGAAGGAAGTTATCATCAAGGCATTCCAGAAACCCTGTGGATTACTTATGCTCTGCTGTGCTCTCTGTCCAACAGATGTCAGGGTGATTGAAATCCCCCCCATGAGGACCCTGGCTTGTGAACCTGAAGCTACTCTTGTCTGTCTATAAAGGGCCTCATCTGCTTGGTCTTTCTGGTCAGGTGGCCAGAATACCAGTAGGAAAAAAAAATATAGATGGAAAAGGGGACAAATCAATAAAAAGAAAACAAATCAAATACTAGGGAAGCTGAGAAGAAAAATACTTAAGGAAGTAAAAAGCAATTTAGTTTCTACATTTCGGCAGAGAATGAAACACACTGGAGAGCTGCAGATGAAAACTGAGACAAATTGTCTGACTAGTCAGGCACCACACTGCACCAATGTTCTTCACAGCACTGAAGCAGACAACATATGCTCTGGAGAAGATTTCTGCATTCAGCTTTACAAACCACATTTCATCTTAATATTGACCCAGAACAAATATCCATCCAGATACTCTATCCTGAAACAACTGCTTGTATCATTCAGCTACAGCTAAATCAAACTGCATTCAAATTAAAGAAACATTACTCTGTTTTTTCCTGGCTTTAGATCCAAAGCTAGACCATGACACTGAAAGAACAATTGAATTGAATAAACTCTTCCTATATACTACAAGTATATATCTGCATTAGGTATGTACATCTACAAGCTTAAGTACAGCAAAAAAAACTGGTTTGCAAGAGGCTCAATGTAGGTGAATCCTTGACTGACAGCAGGTTACTCTGCTAGTCACCTACTTGTCACTCAGCAATCACCTACGAGATTGCTGATTCTATACATCTGACAGGGAAGGGAGAGCATGAAGTTTCATCGTTAAGAGTGGTCAAATATTACTGGAAGTAACCTTGCAGCTCTAGGATATGTCAGGATTTTCAAGGGCAAAAAGCTTTAGTTTTAAAATAATTGGTTGTGGCATCTCTTCCACTTTGCAAATATATAAAAAGAAAAGCTCCTGTGACTTTTAAGGCTGTCAGGAAGGTGAAAAATGAACCTAGATTTAATTACACTGTCCCACTTGGGAACTAGAGGTGTGCTTCTCAAAAAACACAAACAAACTCAAGCATGTCAGTCTGATTTAAGAACCATCTTTCCCTTCACTACCAAACCCCAGTCAAGTAAGAAGAAGCAGAAGTGTTCCTAAAGATACAATTTAAAAAAATGTGGGTTACTATAGCATGCATTCACATGAAAGAATCTGTAGGGTTTTCATCATCATTAGTGTGTTGGTCACCAGAACATGCACATACACTCTTCCTGAAAACACACACCCCTTGTATCTTCACAAACAAACGTAGCATTACTGTATAACAACTTACCAAGTACTAAAACTACTGAGATCAATTTTGCTAAAGATAATCCAACTCAGTGTCTGCAGTTTTGATGTACATGGGTATTTAGGCAAGCTGCTTTGTAAAACAAATCCTTCCTGTTATAAATGCCAGAAGAACAAAGAGAATCTCCAAGGTTCTGTTGTTAGAGTGGGTTTGTATTTGCCTCTCTGCATCCTTTTTGAAAATACCAGGGTTGATATAAAGCACATCTTTATTTTTAGCAGCAAAACAACCACTACCGCAAGTCACTACCATGGCCGTACACTCATCCATGGAAGAAGTCACTGACTTCACACAAAGGCACCATCAAGACAATGGTAACTATAATGCACAAAGTTAAAAATCAGTCAGTATAAATAGCAACCAAATAGCAAAACAGTGATGCATAGAAATGACTTAAAATAACAAAAATATTACTTTTTAGTACATGACATTCTAGAAAGAGGGTTAGATATTTTTAACTTTTAAACAGTGAAAAAAACCCAACACAACTGACTAAACCAAGTTCTAATATTCAAGACTACAGACCAACTTATTCACATTGATCTGCATCCTCCAATTAGCTTCACGTGCGTTTTACTGCATAATCCCTAAAATAGTTTTAGTTGTGTCTAAGAATGGTTGGGAAATCAGGTATTACACCAGAAGACAGAGAAAAGGCATGGAAGAAATTAAAGCCCTCTATTGTGTTTGCAAACACAGGAAATTAATCTAAGGCTGGCTCATTAAAACAAGACTTTCCTCAACTGCTCAAAGACCAGTTCCAAGTTCAGGGACCAGATTTCCTTAATAATAGTGATCTTATAATACATCTAGATTTACAGGATCACTACCACCACAGGATCAGATTATGCCATGGAAACTAGTTGGAACAAGAACCTAGTCTAAAAATTCCCAATTTCAATGAAATCCACGACTGTTTGGAGTAAAAAAGGTGGGTTATGCTAGTATTGAAATATCAAATGTAAATTTACACTTTCAGAATACTCTTCAATTTAACTTTCAGAAGGGTTTACACAGAAGACATTCAGTCTTTCATAGTGAAAAAGCAAAATATGGTGTGAATTATAAACTATCTAGTTGGAAGATTAAAAAAATAAACAGTCAAGTTCTTCACAATTTAAAAACAACAATACTGTTTAAACACCATGTTCCACAATTTTGAACTTCTCATGCAAAGCCAAATAAATTATGACGATTCTACTCTGTGCCTGCCAAATGCACAGCAAATTCCATATAGTGCTAAAAGTCCAAAGTCCCAATCCTCTACATATTTATGTGACAAGGGTTCAATTACCCTGAGAAGACTATTCATATACAATTAATCTTCTGCAAAATGTTAGAATGTTAACACTGAACCAGAAGAATGTACTTTCTCCATAGGATGAACAGCATGTATTACTTTGCTGCAATGTCACTTAATTCATGTCTGGAATCTCTTAATCCTGTAACAACAATGCTAGGAGAAGGTTATGACATGGGCTGCTTTTCTAAGTTTCATCAAAACCCCCACACTCATCTCTAACAGTTTATTTTTTGCTTAAAAGAGGAGCTGGGTAACCTAATCACACTGTTTACTTAACCACTGCACCATATGCAAGGATAAAGTAAACTTCTTTGCTGATTCTGTGTTTGACCAGCATCGCAAATCAGCAATACAAAGCTGATCTGACAGAATCCCACAAAGATAGTGAACACATTGAATGGAGGAAAGAATCTGGATGTTTACTTTACAGCTGTTTTCAAAGTTACACATTTTCCTCCAAGCTTCTCTGGAGCCAGATGCAATATGTGACACTGTTGTACTGCTTGTGTGTCATAAAAACAAATGTGTTTGTGCCCTGGAAAAGCTAGACTATTTATTTAAAGAGTTACTGTTTTTAAGTAGATCAAGGGGCAACAAAACCAAAAAAGAAGGAAAAATAAAAGCTCTTGATTTTGGCTGTCTCAAACCACTGATGTGAAAGAAAAACCCCAAACCTATACATGCCTATAAAATAAATATCTAATAAAAGTTTTAAGATAGCCCTTTATTCCACTCCTAGGGTTTCACAAGAGAATAAAGGTAATAGAATTAACTGTCTTCAGTCACCTAATTATTTCTTCTTCCACAAGAGTATTTCTTTTTCATTTTAAGGAAGAATACATTAATAGTATTGCAAAAAGCTGCTTTAATTCTTAACAACTGGAAGCCTGTCAGAAAAACTATTTTAGCTATACCTTTGTGAAGAACATAAGCTGGAAGCACTATCAGGCTTCAAACAAAAAGACCAGCCTATGATCCCTACAGTCACGTTTCATCAGGGTTTTATTATCCCTTACTACTCCCAATTTAGTTAAGCAAAACCTATGTGGGAGGCAGCAGAAGAGACAAAAAGCAGAATAATTAGGTTATGATGTGTCTGGAACAGTGCAACATGTATGACTATGAACATTTGCTGTGCGTTAGGGAGGAAAGAGCTCTCATGAAACAGCAATGTCCTTGAGCAAAGACACAGAAACCAACCAACCAAGACAAAAATTGGCCTGGACCACAAGCAAAAAAGTCTACTGAGCTAAAGTGTAAAGACATTTGAAATACTGTGGAGAATCATTTTGGTCAGCTAGATAACACCACACGAAAACCAAAAAAATGTGAACCCCCACTCTGTTCAAAGAACACTGTCACATTGTAGACTGCTACAGTTTAGTCAAGTCTCTGGTTAGTAACAAGCAGATCAAGCATAAATTAATGCTTTCAAATTTCTTCAGCAGTCTCATGCATGAGCTAATTGAGTTCAAAACCTTTGTCCCAGTTTTGGCACAGATACAGGATGGTTTGAGGCCTTAAGACAGGCAAGAGCATCTTCACGAGGGATGACAACACAGAAGACCACCAGGATGGCAGATTCATCTGAAATTCGTCTCCTGGTATGAGCGAACCATGAGAATATTTCTGTTATCAAACAGTCATTTCACATCAACTTAAATGACCTGACCCTGTAACTCACATAAGCAATCCCATTGAAATCCAACTGCAAAAAACCTGCAAACTGTTACTAGAGCATCAACCATATGAAACCATCAAACTGTATTAAATAGCAAAACGGGGGAAGTTACAGAGTAACTCAAGAAAAGAGTAAATACTGTAGAAGTAAACCACAGCAAACAATGGAAATACTACAAAGATATGAAGAATGGAGAACAGAAAGCAATGAAACACCATCTAATGAGTCTTTTTGGACAGTGATCAAAACCCAATGTATTTACCTCTCAAATTTTGTGTATTAAAAAACCTGTCCAAGGCGGTCAGTAGTTTACCAAGTTTTTCAGCTTTTTGTCATATAAACTATGACTTGCCTTCTAGAAACCAAGTAAGAACCATAGTGTTTCACATACACTGTACCATTATTTTATACATACTGTGATTTATCATACTGTAAAAAAAAGGCATCACAATAGGTTTTAACAGATTAGATAAAATAATGAGAGTGATCAAGCATTAAAACCCACGCAAGCTGACATCTGCCTATTGGCTTGTTTTCATTTCAGAGTTTTTCTACTGAGGTTAAAATAGTGTCAGAAATATTTGATACAAAAGAAAGGATGAAAGTAACTAAGCCATATCTGGAGCACCCTTTTGTCAGCAGTAACTTGCAAAAACAAGACATTAGTAGGACTTGGATGATGATTTGACAGGCATATGTTTACAATTCAGCTGCACTGTAAAGGACAGCAGATGTACAGATAAAATTGTGTGTAAGGGCAGAAAGCAACTACTAACTTATGTGTGTGTGTCTGTATTTATACCTATACAGATATGTGCCTAGCATAATTTCTGCAAAATATCTTTTTCTGAAAGTGCTTCAAAGGCCCCTGGAGCACGCACACCACTTGTTTTACCCAGAAATTAAGTTACATGCTTAATTGGTCAGATGACCCTAAAGAACATTTTTATCTGGCAGTTGCCTTACCGTTGCTATTCAGTGTCTTCATAATAACTTCCATTTGTGCAAACTCATAGTTGTAGTCTGGTTCTGAAGAAGCTTCACTAGCTGCATCCAGATCATGCTCTCCTAATGAAGTTTCTTTCTCAAGGTCTTTCAACCAATCTCGTCGTTTCCTCTTTGGTAAATTGATTCTGTGTAAAAATTACAATTCAGTTTCTAAAAAGTTTATGCTGAACAGTGGAATTAGAAAAAAAAAAAAAAGGCTGAATGTAAAAGGCTGGAATGTAAATATCAACTTAAATATCAAGTCTTACCTAAAAAAGTGGTTGTTTCCCCATAATATTCTATCACCATGCCATAACTGGGTGATAGAACACACCAGTGTACCGTTTACACAGGATCTGAAAGAAGAAAATACAACTTCAGTGAAAGTCTAAAAATAACAGGTTGAAAAGTAACAACATCTACTACTTATCCCATCTTCTAACAGTGATTTGTATCATACGACACACAAATCTGCTAGGTTCTCATTAAAGAATCAATGGGAGTGTTACTGGTCCGATTTCTGTTATCAGAAGTGAACACAAAGCACCTTGCCCCTCCAGGTTTGGCTGGGACAAAGCTTCAGAAAAAAATAGACAAGGTTGCTTTTAATTGCAGAGTTTTCTTTAAACGCTCATTTCTCAAACCGGGTCACTGCCTCCTGCTTATAAATACTCTGTAAATTTGGTTGCATGCAAATCCAAGTGATAAAGCTCTCCAAAAAAGATACAAGTTAGTCAATGTACTGTTGTAAAATATATTGTTAACAAACTCAACATTCAAGCATAAGAAAAAATCCTTGGATCCAAGTTTCATTCTTTCAACAAATGGAGTGTCTATTATTAACAAAGGACTACTTTTGTGAACATCTGGTACATCACTATATATTTGCACTTAGGGGATTTTTGTATTACATTTTCTATCCCAAATGGGAAAAATGGAGCTGTTGAACTTTTGCATATATGAGTCACAAAGCAGAACATTTTATCTGAAAGGGAAAAAAAGGAAAACAAACCAAAAGAAGCCTTTTCAGATGCAATGTTCTGAATTCAACTCTCTGTCTCAAGCAAGTCAACAAAAACATGCAAGCATGCCATTTAAAACCACATTTTTCTTTTTCATTGAACAAAACAAAAAAAGTTCTAGTAATTGAATTTCTGTTGACACTATCTTGAGAACAGCTACTTTAGCACTGCAGATCAGGCACAAGTAAAAATAAATACGTTTTTTCCACTGACACTTGCTCTTGCAAGTAAAAATGACTGATTTCTAGTACTACAGTAACTATCACAAGTCTGAATCTCATCTGTTTGAAATTTTGTACTGCAGGCTGTGGAAGAAAAGTGCAAATGTTAAGAGGTATTTTACTGAAGGCAGAATGAGAGAGATTGTATTTTTTAAAAGGTGTCTCTCAAACATTTCTTATTCTTCTATTGAAGAATAGAAACATTCAGATTTCAGTCAAACAGCATGACCTTTAGCTAGAACAAAGGTTCTTCTTGTCACACACTGCTGAAGTGACAAAGATGTTTATGATTCTATGCAAGAAGCTACAGTGGTCCCAAAATGAAAAATAATTCAAATATGGAAGTGGAAGCTAAAGAAGAAATTGTGACTTCACACTACATATTTACTAGACACAACCGTGATTAAAAATTTAGAAAATAATTTTCAAGATCTTCAGATATTTAAAACACCTTTTTCTCAAAAAATAGTGAGCTTTACAGTAGGAACTACTCATGAGGCACAATTTATCTTCCCCCACCGAGGCACACCCTACACCCCATCACATGGGTCAGGATTGTCAGCAGTGACCCGTTACCACCCAAGATACAGGCAAGCAATGGTCCCTCATTCCTACTGAATCCCTTCTTGCAATGATTTATGCTGAGCCAAACCACTGACAGCCTCTTACAATGCTGAGTAGGTGTGTACACATGTGAGAAAACTGTAGTTTTATCACTGAATTTCACTTCTAAGTACCTAAATTATCTATATTGAAGCTACTCCTTGATCAGAACATAAAAATACTTCTGTCTATGTAAAACAAAAATGCACCAAAATTGCCTTATGTAAAGAAAAAAGCAGTTTACTGGAAAGTGCTGCTGATCTTCCTTACCTTGCATTTTCTTTTGGTGTGAGTGTAACTTCTCCATCTAAAGCAATATCAATCTCACAGTGTTCTGGTTGGATTCCTATACCAAAGAGCTGTATATCCTGAGAGGTATTTGCACCAACTCTTGTGTGATCCTAGAAAATAAGCTGTTACTAAGAGACAAGCAAACTATCACTGTTTATATAACTAAGAAAATATTAAAGCACAGACTGTAAAATGTACTTGCTCTCCTTTGATAAGCACTTCTATAGAGTAGAAATGGTGCCACAGCAGACTGGAAGACTATAATGGTCACACACGGACTGTTCTTCTCCATGTAGTTTTAGGTAATACAAAATAAAGCAGTTGACACATAAATTCTGATTGTAAAATATTCTCAGACTATACTTGCAAGAGCAAGCAATACATTAAAATAGTGAAGAAAACCAGCCATGTCATATATATACATATATCTATATCTAGCAGAAGAAAACAAGGATAGTAGAACAAGGTGCATAAAATAAGCTCTCTATATAGCAACTCAACTAAACAGACTAATCTCTACATAATTTCAAGTCATATAGTAAATTCTGCTGAAATATTTCATTGTTGTTAGAGCAGCTGTGATTTATTTGCTACTGTTCAAATACAGCAGCCCTATCTCCGTCACTAAAGCACAAAAGTAACTATAAAAACAGACAGTCTTTCATAACTTATTGACAGGGAACACACACTTCCTTGCAAACTTAATAGTTTTGTATTTGACACAATTTCAGTCTGACATGAGACTATGCTAAACAGAATGGTACAAAATCTAGCAGCACTAGAAAAATACATTTCTGTAAATTTTTCACAGTGTGCTTTTTTCCCCCTTTTGTCTTTTCTTAAGCCTTTCTATCACTGAAGATTATGTTTCCTTTTACTGGTTGCTATTAAGCATCATCTCCTCATAATTTAAAGCAATATTTAAAGCTATTCTCAATTCACTGACAAAAAGAATTCAGTCCAAAAAAGCAACTCTATTCACATCCTGTGTGGAAACGCTAGAATTTACCTCCACACTGGCACACACTGAGCACTTCCCCCAGTGCTGCCGAACGGGAGATTTATTAGGGAAACAATGAAGCTGAAGTGCAAAGGGAAAACAAACCCTGAACAGTAGGAGGCAGCCTATCCTATTTTGCTGCAACTAGTCTTAAACATCTAAATACAGTCTGAATAACAAATCGACCCAGAATTTCAAACAATACACAAGTGTCCTTCATTCTGTGTAAATATCCTATTCACATTCTTACCTTTAAATAGTAAACCAACAGTTCATTGAGTGCAGGGTCTGCATTCAGGTTCACCAGGTAGCACTTATCATCCCCAACCTTAATACCTGAAGATTCAAGGGAAATTCCCATGCTCTCTAGCTGTCTTTGCCTCTCCTGCAAACACAAAAATAGGTTAATCTTGCCTGTAGAGACAAATACAGGAAGTAAATGAAAGCACAGCATCTGAAGCTGAATACATGTGCTGAGCATGCATTCTGTTATACTGCTGGCAGAAAAAGAACTTAGGAATTTGTCAAGTACCATGTTTAACAGATTTTATCAGAGCTACTCATAGGTAACACAATGTGGCTTTAAACCAGTATGTTAGTTAAAAACTAGCCTCAGTTGCAATTACAAAGTTAATTATAGTCACAGATAATTTAGAAAATAGCATGCCATGGTTGAGGTTCATTCTTTTGCAGTGTAATTTTTAATTCAGCTAAAGTACCTACTTGATTACACACGTCTTTTGCTTTGCTACAGTTGGGGGGCTAAGGTTTTTTATTTGGCTGGTTGAGTTTGGTTTGATAGTTCCCTCTGCCCTTTTCTTTGGTTTTTTTTCTTTTTTTTAATTTTAACAGTGGTCGCACCAAAGCTTTTGGAATATTAGGAGCAGAAAGGGAAATCAACATCATTTTTTATCCAAACTACAGCCAGAAGAAATTATGGAAAAAGCACACTGGAATCCAAAAGTCTTGTTTTCAGTATAATAATAATAATAAAAATAAACAAATGTTAGTAAATACATGTACACATTCCTCTTCTCTGGTTAAGAAGTCATTAGAAGCAAAAAGCAACAAACACTGGCTAAAACTCTGATTCTTCTGTAATTCTTAATTTTCTTAAGTAACTACTTAAAGGGAAACATGTTCACAATCCCCCTGTGGCGTTTTATAAAAATGATCAGCCCAAATATATTTTGATGTTTTATTTTAAAATAAAATATTTAGCTTTTACTAATGAGATTGCGAGACAGCTACACTTATTCTTATGAAATTTAGACTTTAAAAAGGCAAACAAAAATAACCCAAACCCCAAAACACAGAAACTAGAGGAAAAGACAGAAATCAAGAGGAATTTTAAATAGCTGGTGGAGAAGACAACACAGTCAACTAAAGCATATTAAATTCAGCTGACTTGCACTACATGAGCATCTGGCCTTTCCTCCTCAAAATTCTGATATACCTGTGCAATTTCTTCTGTTTTCCTTAGCTTTTCTTCCCAGGTGACTGTTAGCTCTTTTATTAGTTTTTCAGATTCTTCCAATTTTTCCTTCAGTTCTGGTGCCTTCATGGCCTAAAAGATAGAAATTTGTAAAACCCTTCAGCTGCTATTCCCACTGCAACATCTGCTTGCCCAAGGGAACTGAGCACAGCAACATAATATGAAGTGCAACACAGATTTCAACCGCATTCCCTGGTTTTTCATGGCAGAAGATGAAGAAACACATCACTTGCAAAGGAAGAGAACAGAATCAACATATGGGTCCTGAACCAAAAGAGGTGAAGATTGACATAGCTCCAGAGACTGATAGAACCAAACAAAATCTCTGGCCCTGGCCTCTGAAGCTTCAGTGCCTGTACAAAAATACCTGAATAACTTAAAAACCTTAAGTCTCAACTCTCTGAAATTCAACTGCAAAGTTTTTCTTTCAAAAGTAGTATCACCTACAAACTCCTCTCAAGATTTGTTCTTCCATTCTAACTTGGTTTTGTAACTGTTCCTGGAGTTGCATTCAAGCTTTCAGACTGATCCTGGTGATTACCTTCGAAGGAAGGCATGCTCTGGAGCTAATACAGGCTTCTCATTTCACAGTAGAAAACAAAAGCAGAGGGCTTAAATGCCTCCAGTGCCAAGTAAGAATTCAACAGGCTGGCGTACAAATCTATATAACTGTTTTTAATAGATGGTGTAAAAGAAGAAAATTTAAAAAAAAATTAATAAGACTTTGGACACATTCCTACCAATGTTGTTCAGCCACAGCCCATCAATGTAATTCAGAACATGCTACAATAATATTTGCTGATTTAAAATATGGGACAAGAACAGTGTTTTATTTACAAAAAAAAGTTAGTGGCTCCTTTTTCTTAAAGCACGTTCCCATTTCAGCCTGTAAGGATCTGTTCATTCATGGCATACATGCAAATTTACCCTCAGACACAATTCTGTTCTTTTTCCAGTAGTATTTTGTGCCTGAAAAGATAAAAAACATTTTCCTACAGTGCAGTGTCTAGTTTATCCAGATATCACCAAGTAAACTATCCTACCCTGATACTTTACTCTCCAATTAGAACTATAAATCTAAGATAGGCAGCAATCACAGTGTTAACTGTTAATTCAGTAAAGTCAATTGCTGATGGTTTCGGTGTTGCAGTTTTGTCAATTTTTTAATAGATTTTCACAAATGTCAAGGAGAGAAACGTCCCACATATTCTGTGGTCCAATACCAGAGTTACCGTTTTTCACACTTTTCCATTTGGTATCATAAAATACATACTCCACCCATGGAAAAAAAATTAAAAAGTACTAGTAAGTCTCTAGAATTAAAATTGTTCTGTAGTTCTCATCTGTGCTGCATCTATCACTGTTTGACATGAAGTTCTTTGTGAGCAGTCTATTCTGGCCAGGGTTACCATCAGTATAATGTTGTAATTCAAAAGTTATTAAAAGTTATTAAAAATATGCAAACATTATGTTGGCATTATCTCAGGAAAAAAAGTTAATTATGTAAAAAAAAAAAAAAGAAAAAGTGCAAGGTTTCCTTTCCTCATTTTGTAAGAATTAAAAAGAAAGTCACTCTTGCAGATGGAATTTGACATTTCTGTGGGAAACCGGAGTTATGTTGTACCATGACTACTGTTACCTCAGCTTGTGAGAGCTGCTCTTTCAGTTTTTCAACTTCTTCACGTAATTCTCTGATGACCCTGGCGTTTGGATCTTCATTCACCACAGCATGATTAACTATCCTTTTGGCTCTGTCTGCGTATCTCAGCGTAGAGAGTGTTTCTTCATAATTGTCTGCTGCTGGACTAATTGTGGCTATCATGGCAGTCTGGCTGTTTCCTCCCAAGTTGTCCTGTAGGGTGCATCCACAGAAAGATGGAGGGTTAAAAATTGTTCTCAGACTATACAATATTTTTTTACAAAGATACTTAAAATACAAAGCTCACTTTTTAGACCTTCAAAGATACTCTGGATGTAAACTAACCAGTATCACCCCTAAACATTTCCAGCCACTTCCACCAGATTTGATTCCCCTATGACAGAAAATAGCCAAACAGGACTTCATAGAAGAATTAACACAAGATACACTTAGCTGTCCATATTACTTGGAACAGCTTACATCTATCAGAGCTTCTTAGCTCATCTCTTTAATAAGAAGAAAGAAAAAAGAAGATTAAAAAGTCCACATACACAGAGGTTCGCGACAATGATTCTACACACTATTAAGCTGAAATCTTGCGAACAAGGTGAATGAAAAAATACTAATTACCTTCAGAAGCCAAGTGAGTACAGAGTCTCTGTAAGGCACAAACTTGTTTTTCCCCTTCCCTGCTGCTTGGTCAGCAAGTGATGATATAACCAATCCCAGTGTTGAAAGTGATCTATAAATGCAACACAGAATAGCTTTAACACATATGCCAAATGCAGATTTAATAAAACACAGAAAAGGGGATTTGCTAAAGAGTTTAATTTATGCTCTGCAGAACTTCACATCCAATTTTTAAAATATCTAAACCATTTAAGCTGGAGATGACCACGGGAGCTCAGCTAGCCCTCTGCCCTGCCCCAAACAGGGCAAGGTATTTATTAAAGCTACGTATTTGGAAGAACGAAAATACTATACACAGCGTTTCATCTTGTCTGGTCTTAAGATCAAGTTCCAGAAAGACTAATTTGAAATACTCATGTATTTAAAATAGTTTGAAAAGCATAAAGCAGATTGCTTCAGTACATGGACAATTACTGCCTTTGATTAGACATCTACCCTTTCTCAGAGACTAAAAATATTTCTGTCTTGGACACTGCCTCATGACACTGTTACGAGTCAGCCTTGGCAGAACAGCAAGAATGCCCTGTCTCTAGAAACAATGTTTTAAGACTTCTGGCTTAACAACAGACTGAAACTGAACAATTCTCCAGCCGTAAGGAGGCATCCTCAACACAAAGCCATCTATAGCCCAGGAGAACCAGCCTGCCTGGTGAACCGGTAACTAATCAGTCAACACACAACAATGGATGAAGAGACTGATCAGGAGGTTCCTTGATAAATGGATTGATTTATTATTAAGGTGGAGCCTCACTAGCTTCTCAAGGGGGGAACAGACCAAACAATCAGTTACAAAAATGTTGTACAATCATGAAAGAGAAAAACTCCCAGATTGCTTAGCAGGCAAGCACATCCCAAACACCACTCTAGAATTGTGAAGAAAATACAGATAACTTGTTCATTTTGGTACATGTACCACTTCTACCAGCAAGGGTAACTGTACTAGCAATCTGTGCAAAGGATCTGTGCATTGTGCAATCCAATTGTTACACAACCCTGTGTAAATTTAAGTGACATTGCGGCTCTTGAGGTGAACATGTTTAAGATAATGAGCCGGTTCAGGAGCCTGAGAACATTAAACAGATGCCTAAAGGTTTTTAAAACAGACAGTGCTGAAGCCCATGAGCATTCTGGTCCGTCAGACTCATGCCCAATTATCCAGCTACTCTTGATAACTATCATGGAAAACTTGAGCAGCACTGCAATTAGATAGTCAAATCTTTAATTGTACTTTTCCCCTCCATCCTTTTGAGTTTCCTTTTCAAATAAGTAGTACTATTTTAGTTGACAGGCACAATATTTGAAACACAACCTTACTGCTGCCTGAAACTACCAGAGGTTCAGAAAGAATATTTAGAAAGTGATAAAAATACTGCAAAAGAGTATTTCAAAGAATCTGAGGATAAAGTAATAAGAACCATTACATGTGTCAAAAAAGATGTCCCATACTGTGTATAGCACAAAGTGGTATGAAGATGTACAGGCCTGAAAGCAAAATTAAAATAAATGGAAGGAGAGGCCAGGCATCTGATCTCTCTTGAGAGCACTCCATTTTATAAATTTGTCTACAGGACAACCTCTGAAAAATTCACAGCAAAAATAATGGTTAGTTTTAGTTTGTGACCTAAACAAAAGCCTAACAACCTCTGACAGCTTGCAGGGGCAAGATGCGGGAGGTAGAATTTGTTCTTGCTTCCCATCTCTGGTCTCCACGAGCAGAGATGACAGTGTGCTAAACACGCGAAAACAAACAGTAGGATGCTGTATGCTGCTCCATAGCAACCTCCTACAGCACAACTGAAAAGCACCACCAGCAGACTCCAGACAGAGTCCACCTTCAAGGAAAGTGAATTTAAAAAAAATCCTCCCTGGCCTATCTTCCTCCAGCTCCTCCCTCCCTCTTTAAATGAGGGGGAATTTGAAAATCAAAATTAAAAACTGAGGGAGGGGAAAGAAAAGGACAGCCAGGAGGGTGATGAGAAGGACAGGTATTCAAGAAGGCCTGTCACAGAAAGCTATTTCTCAACAGGGCTGCAATACCAATTTGAGTTATGGGCACTGTATTTTAATGAACAGGAAATTATCAGCTGCAGTTCATTAACACAGGATTAAAATACATGACAGTATTTCTGCTCCTTATAAACACTGATTTTAAGAGTAACTGTTAACATTCGCAATAAACGCCAAACTGGAGTAACTGATGTATTCAGCTTGAGATTTCATAATACAAAGCTGTTTAAAGACTTTTAAGGAAAGAAGCAGAAGAAATGGCTGCCCAACAAACTAATTACAGGACTCTGGGCCGCTTAGCTTCATGCTAAATGAGGCACCAGAGATCCGTCACTACTTTGATCCTATCTCACACCATCTATATAATGAATCACCCCCAGCTTGTAGCACAAGGCCAACTGAGGCAGCTCAGATGCAGCAGAGCAAGTGAGTTGACCTGGTGCAAGAGCAGAGGAAGGTGCAGCTTCTACACACTCCCTGTTCTCCTTGTCCCTCTTCCTCAAGCATGACCAGGCTGCCCTTGCTAAAGGGGGGTGAGGAAGCTTGTACACACTCCTGTCATGGGCCTAAGTGAGGTGGTGCCTCCTCATGCAGGTCTGCTCCTCTCTTCCTAAGTTACACCTGTTAAAGCTATTTCTGTATAATTTACAACCAAATTCTTCAATGAGCAGAACTGACCTTTCTCTTAATACAAACACCCTCTCCAAAATCAGCTTACAGCCAGACCTGTCCCAACCCATTCCTTCCCTTCTTTTGACATTCTCAATTTAAAATGACAACAGCTATGATTTTACTAATCAGAGTTAAAATTGCTTACTGCTCACAAAAAGTATGTTTCTTAGCCACTAAGTGACAGCTTGTTTATTCTGCTTCCTCCTACTATTGTATTCTAGAAATTCTTTGACTACACCACAGAGAGTTGTAAAGTACCTGTGTTTCTATGGTTGGTATGTGAACTCGTACCATCCTGGGGAGGAATAAGCCCACCCAGCTTTACGTAAGTGCCCCCCAAACCATCAATAATAAAGAGCAGACACCCAGTGTCTTCAGCAAAGCAACTATGCATCAGCTCTGAGGAAAAGCAGAAGTGATCTTTATTACAACTTTATGAAGTTGTTAACAAAATGACAACTCTCCATTGTTTCAGTATGTGGGAGACCAATCCACCACCTCCCTTCTGCAACATGCTGTCCCAAGATAGGAGTGTTTATAACAGTTGTGGATTGGAAGCAGCAGCTACCAGAACCTTAGCCAGGTTTCATGCAGAAAAAAAAGAGCAGAAAAACCTGCAGGGAGCAGCTGAACACAGGTCAATGAAAACACTCTGCAGTTTTGGTAGCACAGAGGAGTGTACATTTTCCCTGCCTTGTAAATACAAAACAGGTATGTTATTTCCATGTTCTTCTTCAGGGCAAGGAAACATACTGCAAGCAGCAAAATTATTTATCAGGTAACTTCAGCAGCTCCATTTTTTATCTCATTAGACACAGTGCATTCTACCAATACAAGTTACTGCTTTTTTATAAAATAATAAATTATTTTTTTAAAAAGACCTGACACAGTAAGGTATATGGCTTAAGTATACTGTATCACACCAGAGAAGATTACTGCATTTCCCTAATAAGTAAGGTGCATCACACCCAAAAGATATTACACAATGCTGTCTAAAAAACTAGTCTACTAAAACATGTATAAGAATTTTGAGGCTTCCAGTAAAATACAGGCTTCCTTGAAGGCCCAGGTAACAGCAAAAATCTAACCAAAGACAGCAAGCACGGCACTAAGAAACCTCTTGCCTATCAGTTTCAAAAGATTTCTAATAGATAATGCTGAATTAAATGGACTAAGCAATATAAATTTATACCATATAAAAATTTGATGGACAAACGTACAGCTGTCCACTTCTGCTTTCAAAATATCTTTTACAGATAAGTTTGGTGCTTGCTTCTGCTGTTGTCAAAGAGGTTTAGCATGGACAAAACAACATTCCATTACTGCAGCAATGCCCTGAAAGTTTAATATTGAGTACACATCCTAATGGGGAAAAAAAAAAAAAAAAAAGTGTGTCTTTCTCTTTTCTAAAGCTACACTTGCAGTTTATTAATAGCTATTGAGAGACAGGGCATTTGAAGTCTTCCCTGAGAATCAGAAAGAAACACAAATTTTCACCTTTCTTTATGTAAAATACAAATTCAGTTTCTAGTAAAACCAATCTGGATTTCACTAGTTACCAGTGGGGTAAATGCACCATACCTCCCGTTGGGCAAAAAGAGCCACATCGTTTTGTTTCACAAGGACTACACCAGCATGGCTTACCCATCTGATGCATTAAACACAAAGTTGACTAGAAATTAGGCTAGAAAGAGTAAGCATGTTCAAACTCTAAAAAGAAGTAATTTTAAATCATTTTGAGTATGAATAGTGTTCAAACACCCTTTGTGCAGTCACTGTTAACTTATAATACCAAAACATTCAGTAACATTTAAAAAGTAAACTGAAAAAGCAGTAGCTTTTAATGTTACATTTAAATGCTTTTTTTCCCAGGAAAATTAGTGTATTTAAGACAGGAGTAATAGTGTGCTAAATTTTTGCTTTTGGGCAATAATACCATAATTACAGTAAAAAAGTGCCTTAAAACTTGTCATTGCTTGAACACAAATGCCCAAGGCAATGCTAAACTGACACAGCTTTATTCTGATCTGGTTTTCTTAAACTGTGAGTTATACTCTTACGTATTTTAATACAGGTTGGAACAAAGCCGTTCAACTCTGCAACTCTGCATTCTTCCTTGAGCAGATGATGAGACAAATACATGAGCCTGAGGACAGGGTGTATAAATGAATCACAAAAGGTATATGCTTAATTAAAGAGCGCTGCTGTCACTTTTTCCAGATAAAATTCATATGGCCCTCATCTGAGTCAAGTATGAATTAGGGTCCCTATGGTAGTGCTTAGCACAGAGCTGCTGAAAGAACAGTGTCAGAGTTTATCATAGGGCATCTGAAAGCCGTATCAAACTGCTTCTGACAAGGTCTGTCATTTTAACTGACTTAAAACAAGCACACCACAAGATGAGGCCAGGGAAACAACAGTGACTCTTACAAGATAAGGCCTCTTAACCTCTGTTGGCCTATGTCTTACTTGTTTATGTTGCTGCCTTCCTTCAGACGTTCTCCTGCAGCTCCTGTTTTGGACACTCTCTCGCTCCCAGCCAAATCCACCAGGCTGACCTTGCTGACTTTTTCTCCAGAATTCTGCATAGATGGGACATGGGAGAACAACAGTTCAGAAACACTGACACAAAGTGCTAACATGTCTGAGACTGGTACCATGAAACTGTTCTTCACAATAATGTGGCTTAAAGTATTAAATTCAAAATATGAGAGAAGAAGGAACTGTCTAAGTTTTTATAGCGCTTTAAGAGCCACACATGTATTTTATACTAGAAGGCTGAAGCGCTAATGAACCAGAATCAGCTGTAACATCAATAACCTTACATTTTAATGGCCTGTTTTGCTGGTATCAACTGCAGCAAACATTAAGACCTAAGACAGATTTCATGGTGGCAATATAATCTTAAAACATAATCCAACTGTTTGCTGTACCTGGTGTGCTTCCTCACCTTCCATGGTCCTCTCAACCTTACAGTCTTGCCAATATTATTTTGATTACTGGACCCCATGGCATTAAAGGCAGAAGCACAGCTAAGCAGATAATTTATGTATAAGAGGAAGGAAGAAGAATAATTTACCACAACCTCATAAATTAATCAAGAGAAATACGTACACCAGAATGCAGGTCATAGAGTGTCTGAGTCACTATAATGTTGAAGACAGCGTGAGAGCGGCTGCTTTCTTCATTCATGTTGGTCGCAGCGACTGTTCGCGATTTGTTTCCCTCCGACATCAGTGACTCAATATCCTACAGCAAAAAGAGGGAAAAAAACCCAACGATGCTAGGATAAAAGCAAGTAGTGTGCTTGCTGAACAAAATCCTCATCTAAATTCAAAGGCGTGTACGTGTGGGATAGAGGAAGAAGGGGAGGTAGAAGTAATGAGAAAATTCTCTGCATGTTTTGAGATGTACTGGCACAGAGGGTACGTCATTCCAGAGAATGACATTAAATCACATCTCTGTTCAAGTGCTGTGCTTAAAAACCCAACAACTACATCCAACTCACCCTCTCCTTATCTGCTGCTGAAATATGCTGGCAACGTCCCCATTACAGATCGTAATGTTTAATGCCAGTAATCAGGCCACCACAGATCTACTTACTTAGACAAGTGAACATAATGCATCTCTTTACTGAATTGCACTAATACCATCTTCACTTAATTGGCTCAAAGGGTTACCTCATTTGGAGCCCATACCTTCCCACAGACATAAACACAAGGACAACTCTGCCAAGTTTGATATCTGTGCTTGCTGAGTCTTCCAAAAGTCATCAGACATAAACTAGGTATGAACACAGTATTCTAAAATTTTAATAAAGAGGGTGTGCTTCCAAAGTATGGAAAAAAAGTGAGGGTGCACTCAATCCCACTGTCTATGTCAGAGACAGAGGGATCAAGTGAATTTGGATGGTGTTTTGGTAACTCAAGTGGACTCAGATGGTGTCACAATTTAAATAAGCCATGTTGTAGCTCCTCATGCAGCATACCTGTGCAAAGTAAGAGGTTGTATTCAACAACAAATTGAAAGGAATTAAATCTGGAAGACTAACATTTTTACTTGGGAAGCCTCCTACTTCCTGTGTCAAGGAAACTCTGTGTTCTTGGTGCTTACTGCATGCACTGAGAATTGCAAAATAAAGCAATACCACTATTACACTTTTAATCAACCTAAATGCAAATCCAATGCTTTTATATGAAATAAATACTTCTGAAGCATTAGAGAAGATCTCTGCAATTGCTAGAGACCATAAACACGAACCAAAATGTTTGGATAGACACTAATTTATTTCTTGTAAGACTCCCACTGCTGTACATGGGTGTTATTTATAAACCTGCCATTGGTTTAGATTTACCTCGAAGTTTGTAACAGCCAGCTGAGATAGGCCATCTACATATGGTCCCAGCACTTTGTGCTCCCGAACTTTGAGGGACTGCCGACTCCTGTGAAACAAAGTAGACTTGATGCACAATCCACTAGTGTGAACTTTATTAAAAACAAAAATTACAGTATGAAATGATAAGAATCTTCTTTATAGTACAAGTCTTCCAGAATTGTTTTTAACTCAAATTAAAAATAAAGACTCAAATTAATCTAACAGGTTTTAATCTATGAACATAAATTATTTTTAATGAATCCTCCCACCCCAGTGTTTGGGGCTGGAGCAAAACCTGAAATGCCTTATTTGGAAGAAAGACAAAAAAGGAAACAAAAAATGCTCCCCCTTCCCCCAACAATTTGCTAAAGCCTAAATTCTTCTTTCACTTTATTGACCTATATCAAGAGACTGTCAAAGCTACCCTGTTAACTGACGTGCATACTTCTTCACCTAGTGCAATTATGTTCAGGAATCAAGTTATATACTACATATTTATATATCTCAATGCTCAGCCCAAAAAAACCCTATCAAGCTACCCCTTGTCTAGACATCTCCAAGCCAGAGAGCCTAACCAGTATACTTATGTAGACAAAACAGAAGAGTGGCATCAACATATTCTGAGGTGTTACCCTTCCACATTCCAAAAGCTCATGCCTAAACCAGGAGAATCAAGTTGGAAATAAGCTTCAAACTCCACCTAGTACATGAAAATTCTTACTTCAATATGGTCTGGATCATATGGCAAAAACACCTCAGAATTTAACTGTACGTAGTCTTGCTTTTTGGTATTAAACTACTTCATACTGTGTTTGTTTGCATCATTATAATACTATCCTAATATTAAAACTGATCCATGCCAGTTAGTATCTCATATATAAGTTTGACACGGATATTCTCTTCTTTCTGGTGCTCAGTATCTTATCCTTTCTAAAGAAGTCATACAAACATAAATTCTGAAAAAAACCTTCTCAAGGACTTCCAAAAGTGATTTCTCCTTCTATAGTTTCAGACAAAAATAAGGAAGGCTGTGGGGGAGAGTGAAGCTACTCACCCTTTTGGATCAAGCAGATCTCTGACTTTCTCATTGTAGATTTCCATATAGGACACTTCAACTTTAAAACTATGAGATTCATTTTCTTCCACAGAGATTCTCTGAAATAAAGCACAACAGAGCCGTGGGATCAGACCCAGCTGCTCTGCATTGCCCATCATTGAAAAGGATTTTCCTGAACCTAAAGGAAAAAAAGGAGAAGAAACTGCTTTAGACTGTTGTTTCTGAAGAACTCATTTGTTCATGAAGTGCATTTAAATTCTCCTGTTATTCCTCCAGAAGCACACATCAGTACAAGATGAACTGCTATCCCAGACAGATAGCTTGTTCTTTTGTCTACAAGGTTCAAGTAAACGACAACAAAAAAAGAAGTTATCTTAAAGGTTTTTTTTCAGCAAGGCAATTACTTGGGGTCCCTTTGAACACACTCAGAAGCGACCAAATAAATCTTTGGTATTAACAACTCCTTTCAGGCTTTGACAGCAGCCCCAACAGGTAGTAACTAGGAACATACTTAGAGCTGCTTTAAGAACTTTACATTGCCACTGGCTGTACTAAATGTCTGACATTTAACAAAATGACATTTCAAAACACAGTTTAAAAATATTATCTAGTTTAATATTTACGTGTTTTTTTTCTTCCTACTTCTCATGTGAATGAAAAGTGTTCTTCCCTTTTATCACCAGAGACTCACCTGTCTGTCCATAGGCAAAAATACAAGCATTATAACCCTGAAAGGCCTTTTCAAGAATTCCTTCTCCAAGGCACTTGAACACCACTTCTTGACCTAGAAAATAATTAATTTTTAAGTTTATTTTAAATTGAACAACAGACTAAAATTTACAGAAAACAAGGAAAGGCTTGCTATTAGCATTAATATTGAGTGCATTCATGAACAGATTATTTTACATACAACTAACAAGTTCAAAACTGTTGTCTGAAACTAGTGTAACAGCTGTCTCTGTGTTTAAGTATATTGCTGATCTTCTTGTGAAGGAAGCAGTTCTTAAAAAGTTGTCATAAGTTGAATAATTAGAAAATAACATGGAAAAATAACACAGGTGTCTAAATTTTGTATCGTTTAAGTGTAGATTTTGCAATTAATATACATTCTTTAATCACAAACTGTACCAAACAACAGAACTGCAATGAAACCCATGAATGAATTAGGTTATTCGAGGTACCAGAAATATAATGCTAGAAATACCAGTAGTTCTCTTGGAAACTAGCCTGAAGTTGAGCTATTATGATTCACCCCATGGCAAAGTAATGCTGGAACCAAGACAGAAGCACACTGATGACATTCAGGCAGGAAGTGCATATTTAGGAGGCTGCAAGACTTCAGCAGAGCTGTTGGAGGATATATTCTGGCAAATCCATAGCCTGAAACACCAGCTGCTGGATTTCCTGGTCTGAAAATTGTCTCCCTGTGAAAGGTATATTTTAGATGCACTTCAATCTTACAGATGTAGAAGATGAAAACAGGCCATTGTGGTTGGGGTTTTTTTTAATAGGAAAAAACAGAACTTGAACACCACAAAGCACACCAATGGGTTGTCTGCTATGAGTTCTGATCAGAGAATTGCACCACATGTGTGTATGCTCAAAACAAGCAAAACTGAGCAAAGGACAGTATTTATACACCTTCTGGTGTTTGCTTTTAAGCTGCCTGGTGACTTTCTGAACAGCTATCATCAGCTGTATCTCTCATTTGGTAAGTTAAGTTTCAGCAGTTGTCAGTTACAATAAATTATTTTGTACAGTGGAGGAAACAGTGACTTCCATAGTTCTCAAAGTGGAACATACTGTCATTAAAAAATATCTAGCTATACAGTGTATGAGAATATGTATACTCTATGATCCTTGACTAATTGGTAGTCCAGAAAATTCCCACAGAATGACCTGTGGAATAATTTATAAACATGTAATCAGGACTAAAAAGCACTACATTATTTTGATTTTCCTGTAGCTTTAACCTAATTTCTCTTCTGCTGTAAAGGAAAAAAAAGTGCAGTGATGCCCTATCAAATGGTCTTTGTGTATCTTTCCAGGTGCATTTCTAAAATTTCAAAGTGACACTGCACCTTGGATTAACACAGTTCAGAAATGCTGAATACAGGAATTAAAACCAGAGAAGAATCTGCTGCACAGTGGAGTGACTCTGTCTCCTTGCCCACGCACATTCACCCATTTCTCATTTGACTGATGATAATTTGCTCATTTTATATCTATGTTGAAAGCACTCCTCAATAACCTGGAAATAGCCATAGAGAACACTAAGCTACTGAAGAAGGAGAGAATATATCAGCTAAAGATTTTAATAACAACATACAATACACAAAAAATTCACCTTCAAAACAGCTCCTGCAGGCACATTTTCAAGTTACCAAATATCAAGGAGGCAGGTAGCTACTTATTATCTTGCCAAATGCAAAATTAAGCAAACATCAAAACTAGTATAATTATTAAGAGAAAAAAGCATATGTATGCCACAATGATTGTGACTGGAGAATAAAAGATCAGAAAAGGAAAAAGCTTCTATTACCAACTTCTCAGCAGCAGTAACACAACAACCTCCCCCAAGTTTTCCAAGAAAAAACAGATATCAAAGTGTTACAAATCCCTGCACAGTCATGATAACCATGATGACCTACAGAATCTCTTACTGCTAAATACCAGGAAAGGAACACAGTTTGAATCTCGTGGGTAAAGCTGGAGTTTAATTTCTTTTTCTTTTCACAGAAGATTTTCTTTTCAAACAATCAACACTAAAACTGAAAGTTAGACACTGATACAGAATTCTAAAAGAGTGGGTTTATTACAGTTTTTAAGAGCTCAGCAACACCAACATAGACAAACAGGTCACTGAAGAGTGATGTTTATCGTAACCAGCCAAATTATCATGGGAGAAAATAACACAAAATATTAAACCTCAGTTATGGTTATTTTATTAATTTGCTAATGCAGGGCCCTGTTGAGGGTAGCAGCCTATCAGCCATGAGATTTGCTATTTTTCATTAAAGCAATCTCACTGCTTCCCTCATTAATTTTATTAGTGGGTTTGCAAACCGATTACAAAATCTGTATTATACAGAATTATGTCTATGTGCATTTATTCTATTGTCTACACTACTGCAAAACAAAAATGCAGTATTTATTCAGTTAGATTTCCCCTGCACCAACCTTTATTGTCTTTAAGACAGATTTGCAACCTTCCAGCTGGCTAAGAACATACAGACTCTTACAGGGACCACTAAAAACCAGGCACTGAAACAACCTCTCCTGTCTTTTGCTCAGAACATGTGCAAGCCTTAGGTGACTGACACACATGCTGTCAGTCAAGCTGGGGAGAGCACACCCAAGGCTGTCAGGGAGCCCAAGGAGAGCACACGAGCTGCCAGTTCTCACAGGTCAGAATCTCTCTTCTGCTCATCCCTTTGAGGTACAGCGAGCAAGGTCTGGTGACTTGTTCTTGCAGATCACAGTTTAAATGAAATTACTTACTTTCAGGAGCAAGACTGTTCACCTGCAATCATGCAATGAGAAGGATCATCAGACAATGTGGCTGGATGCTCTATAACTACTGACAGCCCACGTGGAAGTGTCCCTAATGCTGCAAGGTGGTCAGGATGCTTGGCTCATTGAAACTGGTGGATGCCACTTAGTTCTAAAGATACACTGAAAAGCAGTGTCAAGACAATGTGGAAACCTTTTTCACTTTTACCACACAGCTATAGCCGTTTTCATAGCTGCCAGGTATTATCTGTGCATTTTGATAAGCACAACTGCAAGCCTTATGCCAACAGTAGAAAAATCTAGGATAGATCAAATTTGTAACTCCTGATCTCTCAGAAGGCAATTTCCAGCAGGAAACTGACTCAATAATTTTTCCATCAGCTTTCAGGACTGAGTATTTTCACAAGTTCAGAACTCTGATGTGCTCTTGACCTTCTTCCATAAACACATAAACCAAGATAAGCACTTCCTTTTTTTGCAAGTAACCTACTGAAGATATTTAAGACTTCAGCATTCAAAATGGTTCTGTGACTTATATGAAAGCTGAAGGAAAGCCATCATCCTCTCAGATCTACATTTTAACATACATGGAGTCCTGAAACTTTCAAATGCTCTGCTCGTATTATTACCACGCATCAAGGGCATTTATAGCACTTAAAAGCAAGTAAGTTTTCTTTTAATATGTTCTCTCCCTACTGAAATGGCTGGGTATTCCCATGGCAAACATATAAAAGAAGTCAAGGTAATGGTGGTGTATGTGTTAATAGTGGCTATTAAATTATTAACAAATGTAAAATGAAACATTCACATTATCTACCCACAAAGCTGCATGTGAAAATCTAAGTTGGAATAGCTGAGCTAGCACGAAGTATTAGAACATTTAAATTTGGAAAATAGCTAAGATAATAAAAAGTTTATGAATATAGAAAGATAAATACATAATCTGAGATGCACAAAAAAAGGCACAGTTTTCAGAATGAGATATTTAAATATTCTCTCTTGTATTTCCCTGCTCTTTCCCCTTCTATTTCTCCAAATCATCCCACTACAGTTTCTGAGGTGCTGATCAGACCTAATTTGACAACGTTCCTAGGGAAACCTACACATAAGAACTCGAGGACCCATTCTGCAAAACGAAGCTTTTTACGAATAAAAGTTTAAACATTCTCAAGTTTGCTAGACTGGTGACAGAAGAGATGAGAAGGAAGAAAAGGGAGAGATGAAAACAAAATTATCTTTCAAGGCAGTTAACAGTTACAGTCTTTCCTAGCTGGTTTAGTGGCAAACACATTCAGGATACACTGTACTAAAAATCATTTTTTTTAGTGTCTGGTTTTTAGATCTCTAGTATTTCTAGTCCACAACAGCTTGTCAATCTGAAATAGGAAAATTTGTGTCCTATGAGCACAGATTCATTCAGCAAGGGCATGACTGTAATATTATGACACATCACTGCTGCTCCTAAAGCCCCTCCCTTACAGGGCAAAACCAGCTAGAACCAAGTGACAACTTGTTATGTGCAACAGTGAACAGCCAGTCTCTTTATGGCTTGATCTCTAACCCGGAACATTTTAATAAGCAAATCTTGACAGCAACAAATTGCAGTGGGTTTCATGATCTAACAGTTAAAATAAAACTTGATCTCTGGGGATCAGAGTTATTTAAACCTCTGCTGCATAATAATTTTAAAATAAATCTCTCTAAAATGGGAATAAAGATGCCTAATGGTTCACCTTAATAAGAATCTAAGAGCACACGAGCTAGCATCATCTAACTACTACAGCCTAACAGCAATACAGTACTGACAAAGCACTGGGGTACCCAATGTTCAAAGCCTTAATCCACTAAAAGGTCTCATACAGCTTCAAATCAGGTGCTGAAATGTTTAGGTTCAAGTGCCTGACCCACAGAGTGCTAAAACCATACTAGTTAAGTTTCCCAAAAATGTACAGAGCAGGTGTCAGCTGTGTGAACAAAAATTAAGTCCTAGACACTATGTAAACTCTCCTCTAAAAACAAAAAAAAAAAAAAGGAACAGTACAACAGGGATAGTTTTCTGCCATATAACAGGTCAAATAGGTAAGACAGAACTACACACAGGCAATCCTGTCTGCTCAAAATCCACAATTTAGAGGGCAGAAGTGTGCAGTTCTTTAAGCCAACTGTGTGGTTTCTTCCCTTGAAAACAGCTGCTGAAACATCAGGAGTCAGCATATATATTTCTCATATAAAACTAAAAGTCCAAAGTCAGGTGTTTGGCCTCCGAGGACATTGCAGCCTGCAGAAACATGGATCTGAGATTTCAGGTCAAATGTGCCACAGGCAGTCTAAGAAAAATACTCAGTCAAATCAATACAGCATGTGGTCTATGGAATGGACTCACTCAAGTACTACAATGGTTTATACCATCTCCTGAATCATTACCAAACTAAAGGGTTTATTTCCTTCCTTTTCAAGATCCACTTCACTGCAAACTTCAATAGGCTCTTAACTGTTGTCTAGGCTTGTGAAAAGAATTCTTTGTTCTCACATCTGAGAACTTCTCGGTGTCCTATACTTCACCCAAATGCAGAGCTGTTATTTGTCTCTATAAGCTTCTCAAGGCAAGCAGGTGTCTCCTTATCCATGAACTGACTCTTGTCCTATTGAAGTCAAGAAACAAATGGTAATAAGCTACTCTTGGCACTGTCAAAACACCTCTTCTACAGGTTACCAGGCAAAACTCACCCTTTTTCCAGATCAAGGCAAACTCATTCTGTTCTATAACCACACTACTCTCCCTTCTAAAAAAAACTATTTTATTGACCTATATTTGGGGTTTTTGGTTGTTTTGGGTTTGTTGGTTTTGGTTGTGGTTTTTTTTTTCCTTTTAGATAAGAGGCTCACACACTTGCCAAATACCCAACTATGTCTTTCAGAATTAAATAATTAGAAAAAAAGGCTCAGGTGCTAACTTGGTGACCAGCACAAACCTGGAGGTTTGAAACTGTTCCTGGCTTGGAACAACACAGCCGTAATTGGTTTGGAGACACACAGCCTCAGTGTTAGGAGTAACCCTCTACCTACTAATTAGTTGGATTAAAAACAAAAACAAAGTTTAAGAGCTTCCATCTCTTGCAGAATCTGAAACCAAAGCACCACCTCCACAAAGGTCTTGTTAAAGAGTTTACTCCTCTTCCATGCTCCAAACTCCCCACTGTCTTTCTCAGAGTTACAGTCCTGCAAGGACAGCTACAAAGATGTCCTCTCTAAATGTTTTTCCTCACATGAAGGTAATCTTCATTGCTTATATTAGTGATATTGATGGATCATTTTAGAATTTAGAACCCAATTTCCACCTCAGAGGATAAAAAAATGCTACAAAAAGAATTCTCCTACCAACAGCCCACTTCTGCATCATGATCCTTACAAATAAAGATATTTTTTTTTAAAGGATAGTTTAGTGCTTTGTGCATACAGAGTTACTAAATTATAAGTTCAAACCTAAATACCCAGCAACAATCCTCATGTTTTCAAATACTAGAATGAGAAGGTACTTTCAAAATTGGAATAAGATCTCTTGTGCTACCCAAATACCACATGAGACAGATTTAAGGATTCAGTAATAATGATGCATTTCCAGGAAAGCACAAACTATGGTTTTGGTGACATTAAGAAAAATAAGAACATGGAAGGATTAGCCATATAAATCAACACAGAACTCAGACGTACGTTTACTGTGGTGCACACCATTCTGCGGGTTTTCTGATGTCCCATGTGTCAGTTGACAAAATCTTTAATATAGTATGATATACACATGAATAGATCTACTCAATATAATGCAAGATGGGTATATCTTGGTTTTGCACAGAGAGTGATGACTGATAGGATTGCCCAGTACTTGAGAATCTCTTGTCAAACCTTTCACTGTTGTATCTTCCGCTGTATTTCTGTGATGCAGATAAAAGTGTTTTTCAAGTAATTCAATTTGTCTCACATATCTTTTTCCATGTAAAAATGTTACTTATATTTAAAAGCATTCTGGTCTTAGCTTTCAAGCTTTATATGGGTTTCCTTTTAATTGTGCAATTAATCACTACTATTGCCAATGACATTAAACTTATGCAACCACATAAAGTTACTTTGGGCAGGGAGTATTTAATATACCTGTCTAGCTTCTAGATAAGCACCTCCTCTTTACTTCAGTGTCTAACCAACAAATAAGAGTTTAGCTCAAAAATTCAGCCTGCCCAGTGGCTTGTTAAGCTTGTCAATCTCAAAACAGTCTCTGGCACAGTCTCTGGACATAGACAACATGTAAAGATCCTACAACAATGGGAGTTTATCCCACGGGGCTAGGAAATTATTAAAAACCGCAAACAGAATCAATTCTCATACTCTTTTTTCTTTAGTACAGTTATTTAGGCCAAGCTGTGAAAAAGACATTGAGCACCTTAATACTACAAATAGATTAAAAACTGAAATCTTGCCATTTCAGTATTTGGTTTGTTGGCTCTAAAAGTCTAGTACAGGATAATCTCAGTTTATGCACAAGCAAGTGAACAATCCAACAAACCAGTAACTTAGGCCTGAAACAGGCTCTTTTTTGGATGTGTTTTTGGGTTTCATTATTATTTATTTATTTTGTTTGGTCAGTTTTGTTGGTTTTTTTTTACTTTTATTTTATATTCTGCCAAGTGCATTATGTTCTAGAACATGAGGGCTGGAAATCACAGTTAACTTTGAGATAATAATAAAAAAAACATCAGTGAAAGCATTGTTTTTTATATGCAAGTCTTGAATCTCACATTCTTATCATATTTCTGAATACAAAAAACAAACAAACAAACCAAAACAAAAAACCCACCCCATTTTGTTGTTTGGGTTTTTTTTCCCCAGGCGGGAACATTATCTGGAACAGGCAAAAAAAAAAACCCATACAGCTTTCTGGTCACTAAGAAAATACAAGAGATGTGAGCAGCAGCTTTCCAGAGCCCAGTCCAACCAGAAGCTGATTTACATACAGACAATAAAACTTCAGTTCTCAGATAAAAAGAATTAAATTATAACTTTTAAAAGAGACTAGAGAAATCTAGTTTTGATTCAAAAATAAATAGACCTAGAACCCCACTGAATTAATCTGGAGATGGGCTAAATGAATAAAGAAACAAGTTTATCTGGTTAGGGGTGTTCCTCTGGTTTTCCTCTTCTCTGCAAGTGGCTTAGTACCATGGTATACCCACTAGGTACAACTTTCACCCACACAGTCAAGGCACATGGGGCCTAGAATTGGGTGCCTACCACCTCCCCCTCCCTTTAAAAGGGAACAGAATCACCTAGGCACAAATGAAGGTGCTGTGTGCTCCAAGGGCTCTCCCAGCCAGTAAATACTGTGCAGAGCACCTGTTCAGGGCAAGGGCAGTCACAGAACTTTTCATGAAAAAAAACACCTGTTTTTGCCCAGGCAAGTAAGAAATACAGGAGAATCTATTATTACATGCAATCCCTAAGATCTGGGATTTGATAACAGGAGCTACAGCAGTCAGAGATGTATTTTAACACAAGTATATGACAGTTCTTTTATTAGAACACTGATCTCAAGCTTTGAGCTAATTAACCCTATTAACTTTCAAGATTTCTTATGGGTCACAAAACTTCATAATATAAATATCTAAATATTAATAAATATAAATATCTAAACTGAATGCCTTGAAAGTCCTCTTATAAAGTATGAATACGCTAATACACAAATCCATTTACAAGAAAACTACTAAATTTACAATCTTGCCTGGATTATCCAGCTTTTGTGAGAAAGGAGTCACAAAACTCAAACTTGGTTTTAAGTGACAGAATCAATCTTCACAAAAGGCTCTTCTAGGGGATTAAAAAAAGAACACTATAGCTTAGATGTAAAACTATCCTTTCTGAACAGTGTATCGGGCACCTTAAAGATTGCATTTCTTCTGAACTGAGGAGCTAGCACTCAGATGATTCAACCACTGCAAAAATGAGATGTTTGCTTCTGTGAAGAAGTCACTTGAGTATCACAGTACAAAATGAAAAAAAAACCTCCACAAAACAAAAGTCTGAGCTCTCATATGTTCTCAAATTATTTACGCTGCCAAATGTATGGAAGAAAGTTTACCTGCGTATTTTGTGGTGTTTGATTCATCCATGGACCAGAAGCAGTGATCAAAGGCAAACACCTGCAGATGCACATAAAAAGACAAATTAGGAACTCTGGCTACAAGACATTTCTCTTAAAGCAGTACAAATCAATGACTGTTTAATTGCAGTTGGGCTCTACTGCTTCTATGGATCCT